CTGCTTCGTTCTTCGTTTTACTTACACTAAGTTCAAATTGAGGTCATCAATGTAGTACGCATGGAATTATCCTTGTTTCTTTTCTTCTTCGTCTTTGCGTTCACACTATAATGGCTGAACGAACAAAGAGAAAGAGAAAAAAAAGCGAGAAAAAAAACCCTGTGTTATAGTATTATTACTATTGACTAGCATTATTACTATTTCTTTCACCATAGAGAATAGCAAAATCTAATCGCTGGATAAAATCTTGAAGCATTTCTATTTCAGAACTCTCGTAATAGAATTATACTCTCGTTTCTTTTTCTTCTCAAATTATCATTCAGTTTCTTTCTTGCTTCCTTATTGAAACATCAGTTATATATGGGAAAAAAAAGGGAAATGCCTAGAAGTGACATTATTCTATTACATAAATATTGATTGACGTAAGTTATGAATGTTTACTGAACAAGAAAATAACAAGTAAAACACAGTATAATATTCTATGAACGAATGTTATTATCAAACAGACTTCCAGCCTGGAGTGATCTATTGTCTGATGATTGCTTTATTTGTTAGTATAAAGATAGTATACAAATGATTGACATTTACATATACGATTCAAATCCCCAGGGCGAAAGTAAAAAAAAATCATTCTGTTCCCTTTTTTTTAGTTTTTTTTCTTGTTGTATGTAAAAGATACTATAATCCTTTTGTAATTATAAAAACCAACTCGATTTGTCTTTTGTTACATATAGGACGAAGTAGAGTATGTATAATAGAAATATTCCGGTGTATTTTGTTATTCTTTACTTGAACAGAACTGAAAAAAAGCGATAGAAATGTAAATAGGCAACTGCGTTATATGGTGCAAGTATTTTATTTCTTATTGCCATTTGTTATTTTATATTGCTAAAAGTCAGACTCGAATATCATTTACATTTATCTTATATATTTCTCGATTCATCTATTCATTGATTCATATAAACATAGCAAAAACAGCTATTCATTCAGCCGGCTTTATATGATATATATGATCATTATAGTCGACAATTCTATCACCTCGTTACAAATAGCTGTTATTTCTTTCTTTTTTTTCTTCTTCTTCTTCTTCTTATTTTGCGTTCTCTTCTCTTATTTTACTTACTGTCTAACATCTTGTGAAGGAAAAAACTGAAAATGACTTTTATTTTCACTCTTCAATACTTTTTTTTTTCTAGACGTTGCAATTTAAAAAATGAATCATTGTGTTCGTCTATTACTACTATTTACTCCGTCATTAATCGCTCTTGGTTTACTTGGCATTGCATTTGCTACAAATTGGTGGACAATTGCATTAAAACGAGTAAAAATTCAATTTCAAACTTTTTTTTGAAAAATAAATTTTTTTAGAATATTCCAAATGAAAATTCTTTTAATATATCAAGTGGCGAACGTATTCATACAACATTAATTCGTGTACCACTTTCACGTGGTTTATTAACTGAATGTATTTCATATCGAAATGTAAAAGTATTAGTTTCGGATACATATGATTTTCGTGCTAATTTATCCTCTGAAGATAATCTTAAATTAGCAAATGAAAATTGTACAAATGATCAATTTATGTGTAAAACAGGTGTTGCTATTGCACGTCCTTTAACACGATGTATTAATAATCGACAAAAATGTAATCGTATCGTTGATTGTGAAGATAAAAGTGATGAATTAGTTTGTGATGGAAATATTGATAGAAATGATCAAGAATTTTTTCAATGTCCAACTGGTTATACGAAATGTCAAGATAGAAAATCATGCTATCGATATAATGAACAAACATGTGGTATGAAGAAAATTTTTTGTTTTTTAAGAAGAATTTATTTTCTATTTAATAAATTACTTTAGATGGTGTTTCAAATTGTATTGATGATTCTGATGAAATGAATTGTAATACAGAAAAATGTCTTCAAAATAAACGTATCTATTGTCCTGGAAATGGTAAATGTGCTCGAAGAGAAAATGCAAAACGGTATTATTGAATTTTTTCATTTCATAATATTATTTTTGATTTTATCATTAAAGATGTGATGGTATTGTTGATTGTGCTGATTATTCCGATGAAGATAATTGTGTCGAATGTAATAGAGAATCATCAACTATTTCATGCGATATGAAATGTAAGTTAAACTAAATCTTATATTTCAAAAATTAAACTCAACCTAATTAAGGTTTACCGGCTAAATATCGTTGTGATGATATTGTTCATTGTTCAAATTTTTCTGATGAAATGAATTGTGCAGATTATACAACAAAATCAAATCGTCAAAAGAAACTTACATATGATGGACAACCATGTATTGAACAACATTTTAATCCATTTCGTTTTTTTCCATCAGTTATTGATAAAGCATTATTAGAATCATATTCACATCCAGATCAACGTATTGAATATCTTAATTCAATTTTTTATTTAAATTTAATTGTATTTTATGGTATTGCTGGTGGATTAATATTTCTTTTATTGGCTGTTGTATCATTATTCTTTTTTGGTTATTGTCGTCGACATTGTATTGTCGTACCATTCTATTTCTATGGTGTATGGATGTTATTAGCATGGTTATGTATATTAGTTGGTTTAATTTCATTTGTATTTATATGGTTATGGCAAAAACAAACGGTATTAGACGAAGAAAAAAGTTTAACAACAGATATAATGATACATGAAAGAAATCCAACATTACGACATATTGAATTTTTTGGTTTAAGCTTTTGGTTAGCATGTGGAGCAGCATTATCAACATTTATTGGTTTATTATTATCATATTGTATCTGTTGTACAGTTGGTTCATCACGAGCTGATGATAAAGAATACGAAATAATGCATATGCATTCATACTGAAAATGAAAATAAACATCAAAATTTTTGTCTTTTTCTTTCTTTCTTTTTTTTATATTATTAATGTTGTTCTTTTCTGTTGTGTAAGAAATATATTCGTTCGTTGTCTTTTATAATTATATCACTTTGTATTGAAGCTCAATCTCACCGCGTTTTTTTTCTTCTCTCTAAAAAATTTTCTTGTATTCTAGTCAAATACGTGCGTGTGTAAGGTCTTTAATAGTTTATATTATGTATTCTATGTATAGATATGTTATTTGGACTTTATTGACAATTAGTGAGTGAAAAAAAAACAAAAAAAAATTATGACTATCCTATTATAAAATATATTAAATAAATTTTAAAAACAATTGCTTCCTTAAAGTGTATATTTTGAATACTGATGGAATTTCATTGGTTTAAAAAATTTAATAAAAACAGAAAAGTAAGAAAAATGTTCTTAACCAGCTGTTTTTTATTTATTTTCATCAAACGAAAGGTTTTAGATCGAGGGCAGATACGTCATTGTTAAAGTCAATGTATGATTTGATGTAAATTATGAACTATTAAATATTGATGATTGTTGAAATTCATCAAAAAAAACACTTCTAAGAATTAATTTTTTTTCTGTTTTAAACAATATTCTTATATATGTACCTGGTGTCCGAAATGCTATTTAACAAAAAAATAACTTTGAATATCTCCCTTACGATTCGAGTAAATGGTCTGATCTTTTTTTATCAATGATAGAGATACGCCTAGAAAGATCATTTGTTAAATATCACTAGACCTAAACATATAGAACAATAAAAAACAATCATCTCGTCTGCTCGATTCGTATGGCAATCGATTCGATATATTGTAGAATATAAACATGTTATTTTCTTTTTATACAATTTATCATATTAGGATCATATAGATAAAAAATCTATTTAAATTGATCTTCATTTTATACTCTCGTATTACTTGAAAGTAATTGTATATTTTATTGCAATCATAATATAGTCTTCAACCATATTATCTGGAAAAAAAATTAATCAAATAGATGACATTTTTTTTTGGGTGAATGAACAATACTTTATTTAAATTAAGAGAGCACGTTCGCATTCGTACCACGAGCACGTTCACGTTCTTCATTATCTTATAGAAGACTAATATAAAAAAAATAAATCTTCTATTATTAGTTAGTTTATGATAGATATTCATATTTCAAAATTAATTTAGCTATATGATAATGATTTACGGAACAGATATTTGTTTTTTTTAATAATACGATGTGAATAGAAAGGAAATCAAGTACGACACAACGTATAATAGACACTTGAATAAGAGTGTATTCTTGTCTTACCGTGTTACGTAATTAAATTTAATATAAAAGTAATAGTGTGAAGAAGTTAAAGTAGACGAGAGATACTTAAGAAAATTACTAAAAAAGCAGTATTCATATGTAACAATGCTTGAAAATCGATTGATTTTTTCAAAGTGATATTTTGTATTTATTCGATTTAGTAATGAATATTTATCATAATCGAAAAACAAATAGACTGTTATCTATCTATTAAATACAATACAGATTCTGTTGAATGGAATATCTTATAATCATAATTTAACCTATTCAATTAGAAGTTTCTCGAGGTCTTTTTCTCATTAATTTATTACGGTTGAAGAAGCTTAATATTTTTACGGTATTTAGAAAAAATAAAAGAATAACTGTAAGCTTCATGAGACTTTAACACTAATACATGTCGACACAATTCTATTTACTTTGAAAGAATCTTTTCATCAATTTTTTCTTCTGTTTTATATAATGAAAGTAATTAATCCATTATTTATAACACCTCGAAATATGTAATCTACTTATATTACACAATCATAATAAGTAAAATATCATCCGTTTGCTGTTTTACTTCGTTTCATATTCTATAATATTTTAAATACTCTTAAGAAAGATTTCAATAGATAAAATATATTTTGTTTATATGATAAAAAAAAACATAATCTAAAATTATTTGATTCCTTTTCTTTTCTCAGAAGCAAAAAAAGAATCACAAAAACGAGAAAAGAAAAACAAATATTTGAAAAATAAGAAGTATATACAAGAAACCATCTTGTTTGATTTAAATTGAGATGAAAGACATAAATGCCCACAATATAAGAAAACATTGAACTTTATATTCATAAAATCGTACAGACTTTAGTCGATTGATGAATATTTAAATTTGTTGATGGATTTTGATGAATTTTATTTATATTTCGTTTTGGTTTTACACTTGTTCCACCATATGAAACACTAATTGGTTTTCCTATTGAATTTTTTCGTCCACCGGTTTCACCACTAACAGACATTGAACGACCCCATGATGTTGATAAATCTTCATTGACTGCTTTATCATACAAATCATCACGTTCAATTGGATTTGATTGTTTTTGTAAACGATGTAAAATAATACGATATGTACCATTAATACTATCACGATTTGAAAGAAATTTATTATTTGAATATTTTGTTGTTGTTTGTAATAATTCACTTGTTATACCTAAATCTTCTAATTTTGAATGTGCTTCATATTCAAATGAAGTTGTTCGTGCTTGAGAATCCGATGATGTACCATCATTATTATTTTCATTTTTACTTAAATCTTTATTTACAGATGTCCAATAATTCGTTAAATTTAATGGGAGTGGTTCAAGTTCATCTGGAAATATTTGATTATGAAGCCATGGACATGAACGAATTTGTTCAATCGACCAGCGTTGAACAGCTTCTGGATGAAGAAGGCCACCTAAAAATATAATATATATACATCCACCCTCAAGAAGTCTAATTGATGTGAATCACGACAAAGAAAATAACCTATTCTTTCTGAAAAATCTCTCAATGATAAGGTTTCATGCAAGAAGTAAATTTTAGCATTCTCAAAAATATTTATAAAATCAGAACGAACATAAAAGTATTTCTTCGATCAGATAAATTACATCTAAAAGATGCACATCCAACTTCTTTTTCAAGGAATATTATATATTTTTATGCACTGAAAAATCCTCTCGTCAGTTTAAAATATATTCTTATTAAATAGAATAAAGAATAGAATCATAAAAAATTTGTACTCATACATTCAAAGATTATAAATTTTATAATAATTTATTTTTATAGTAAAGTTTCTTAGTAGAAAAGAATATCGAGGAAGAATTTTTTCTTAAAGCTTTGTTATTTTTAGTATTAATTATAAAAATATTTATTAATAAATCAAATTTAATATGAAAGAAACAGATTAAAAACTCATAGCTGGATTTCATATATAAACTTTATTCTTATGTTTGACAATAAATTTTTGACGTTTTCATAGATGATGAAATTAACATGCTGTTTGAAGGAATTACTTTTTCTTTTTTTTTCATATATCTATTTTTACAATATAGAATAACAAATTAATTACATATTGTTCCGAAGAATTATTTGTTATTTCTCATTATTAAAGAAAAAATATTTGAAATTCTTACGTATAAGTAGTTGACATTCTTCTGAGACATGTGGTGGAATTGAATAATGTCCATCAATAATAGATTTTTTCAATTTTCCAACATTTTCTGCTCGGAATGGCATTAAACCAGTAACCATGAAATAAAGTAAAATTCCCATAGCCCATAAATCAACATAGATTCCAATATAACTTTCATCACGAAATAATTCGGGAGCTGCATAAGGTGGACTACCACAAAATGTTGTTAATGTTTGATTTTTTTCTGAATATGTACTAAAACCAAAATCACCTAATTTTATTAAACGTTCTTTAGCAAAAAATACATTTTCACTTTTAATATCACGATGAATAATACCTTGACTATGCTAAAAGAAATATTTCAAAAAAAAATATATAAATATTATAGTTTTCTTTTTTTTTGCTACCATATGATCAATAGCGGCCGTTAACTGAGCAAATATTGATTTAGCTTCATCTTCAACAAATTTTCCAGCTTTTGAAATACGTGTATAAAGTTCTCCACCAGGTGCGTATTCAGTAACAATATAGATTTCATTTGGAGTTTCAATAACTTCGTATAAACGTACAATATTTGGATGATGTAAATGTTCCATAGAAGTTATTTCACGAAGAAGTAAACGTTGCGTACGTTCATCAAGTTTAGTTTTGTCAAGAATTTTTATCGCGACTTTTTCTATAGAATAAAAGAAAAACAATATAAATTTTCTTCATTAAAATTAGACAACCAATTTGTCCGTAAAATCATTTCTAGTACATGTCAATGCAGTCATGTTTTTTTTTATATTGTATAGCTATCTTATTTTTCTTGTTGACTTGTTTTGAATTACTAGAGTGTAACAGACTGGAAAACAAGTAGATAATAATTGATGATGAACATGTCAAATATAAAATTAAGTCGATTTGAAATGTCTATTATGCGAGTTTGAATGCTTTTAAATATGTTAATATGAATAATTTATATAAATTATGCATAGTGAACTATAAGTCAGAAGAAAATAAATGTATTGAAATGCAACAAATTATTTCGAATGAATAAATTCTCATATCTATTCTTGACCTCCTGCTATCACTAACAATTACCAATCTTTCATTATCAGTGCTATTCTTTCTAGATAAAAAAGATCAAACAAGGACACTTATTTTCTTTTTGTACTAAAATCTACATATTTACCTTTAGCAAGTAAATGTACACCAAGTTTAACACGAGAAAAATTTCCCAAACCAATATCACCTCGAATACGATAAAATCCAATACGTCGACCAGCTTTTTCTTCGGCTTTAAAACGCATATCATGTTGTGAATCATATAGAAGTTTTTCATAAGCTGTTAAACTTTTTTTTTTATCTTTAGCAAATGCTACTGTAACAGCAGCAGCTGATGGTATACTATTTGATGATGAAAATTCATCATTCATAATCATATTACTACTATTTGTTTTATTTTTATGACTATTTTGTATTGGAGCAGAAATTGAATTAATATGATGACGAGTTGAATTTAATGATGTACGACGTGATAAATTATTTGTTTCAATTGCTGAATTTGACGTTACGACTGTTGTCGTCAAATTTTCTATAGTATTCATTACTTACTGAATGATTACATAGAACTTTTATAGTTTACATCTAAAGAAGAAAAAAAAGAATCTAATAAGTTTGTCATAACATATAAATAAACTGTTGATAGACATGATAAAAAGATGGAAAAAAAAGAAGGAAAGTCAGTTGTCATATAGATGCGTGCTGTAACTTATGAGAAAATGTTAATAAACGAGTATGCATCATCACCTGTCTCTCGTAGAAGGAAAAAGTATTCAGAAGACTAGATGCGATAAGAAATGAGAAACTAATTTGACCTCAACTAGAGAAGATGAGAGATTTTTACCAAACTGTCAATTTCAGAATAATAAAGATAGTCTATGAAATACATAGAAGAAGAAAAGAATAAGAAGAAATTTAAAGAAAAATGCTATTTGATTATACTAAAAAGAACTTAAAAATGAGAAAAAGAATATGATGGAATTTATAATGTTTTTTTTCCTTCTTCTTCTTGTTGTTTCAAACATTTTTTCATAATCATTATCTCGTTTTGATTCTGTTTGAGACATCTGCTTGCAATTGAAAATTCCGATTAACAATATCATGTTTATACTTAATTTAACATTAACAAAAATAAGTACTCGATAAGAACTAAAAAAAGACCAAAAACTAAAGAGAAGAGAAGAGTACTTCATGATTATTATGCATTAAATAAAATCATTACTCAAATATTTTTAAAAAGAAAATATATAAACAGAACGAACATATTTAAGTATGCTTGAATTCATACAATGATGTAAACATGGATAGACAAATAGTTTGATCTTTAAAATTGTTTTGTTATTATGTATGCTTGAAATAGAAACTGGTAATTTAATAGATAGTAGCCATATATTCTATTTTAATCGGAAGCGAAACATGAAGGAAAAGTAAAAAAGTTTTTTCTTTTTTTTCTTTTTCTCGACTTATTTTCTCTTTGCAGATTTATCTGTTATAAACAACGTACTATACTATCTATGCAGGCAAACAACCATCCGCATTGACGAGAAAACAAAGAAAAAAAATTTGCACTACTGGAAGTTCCTCCTACATTTTTTCTCTTCCTGTAAAATTTTTCATTCTCTTACCTACACCATACACTGATTTTTTCCTGATTATAACTTAGCAACCGGCTTTTGTTAAAGTGCATTAATGCATTAAAATATGTAATGTATTCTTTTAAGGGAATTTTTCAATAAGTTAATCATAAAAAACTTTTTAGTTTTTAAATTATTTTTTCAATAGAAAATAATAGAAAAGATAAATTTTTTTAGAAATGTTGAATTGAGAGAATCAACTACGAATGATGAATCACGGAACGATTGAATTATTGTTTATTATTTATTTCTGCTTTCTCTTTAGAACAAATAGTTTTAGTTGTAAAAAATTTTCAATTCTAATAATAATATTATATTATGTTTGATTTTTGATTTTTAAGATCAGTATATTTAACAATGAAACGTAATCGATTTGTGTCATCATCACGACGAAAAGCTCGTAAACGTTATTTTACTGCACCATCACATATTCGTCATCGTTTAATGAGTGCACCATTAAATAAAGAATTACGACGACGATATAATGTTCGAAGTTTACCAATTCGTAAAGATGATGAAGTAGCGGTTAGTATTATCTGTTATAGAAAATTATAATTTTTTTGATAAATATTTTCTTTGCTTTGTTTTTTCTCTAGATTACACGTGGTCATTTCAAAGGTCAGCCATCAGGTAAAATAACACAAGTATACCGTAAGAAATTTGTTGTACACATTGAACGAATTACACGTGAAAAAGCCAATGGTAATACTGTTCATATTGGTATCCATCCATCAAAGGTAAATAAAGGAAAAAAAACAGTTTCGAAAAATGAATTTTTTTGTGTAAATTTTTAGGTTCAAATAACCAAATTGAAATTAGATCGTGATCGTAAACGTATCTTGGATCGTCGTTCTAAAGCTAAATTGGCTGCCAAAGGCAAACATACTGAAGAAAGCATTCAACAAACCTCAGCAACACCAATGGAAGCATCATCTTAAATAAAGCAAAAATAAAATCGAGTGCTATTCTAGTTGTTTGTTTTTCTTTTGTTTTGTAATTGTGTGCGTGCGATCGAAAAAAAAACGGTACAAATAGCACAACAAAAAGAAAAAGAAGAAAAGATAATTATTAATAAAGAAAACATCAACAAAAATAAACTATTATCTTTATTGAACAGTTGAATTTATTTATTATCATGAAAGTGATAAATTAAATTTCAGAAATCATTTTATTCAGATTATATATATATGTTTCCTTTGAATCAATTGTATAGAAAATGCTGCAATCCTCGATATAGCTTAGTTTAATGATTGTATAAAAAATCTTTTAAAAAATGATAGTTTTATTTGAATTATTTTTTCTGTCTACTTCAAAGAAAATCACATATCATATGTATAAATTTTTTTTGAATCCTATTGACATTATTAGAATATTACATAATTTATATTTTCGGTTGATATAGTGATAAATATTATTTATTATAGAAATTAGCGTTCATCTACTACATACTTAGAAATATGCGTAGTCTTTCAAATAAAAAAACGAAATATTTCAACGTGTAAATTTATCTATTTACTTAATTAAATAATAGCAAAATCTAAATATATAAGAGTACTGATATATCAAACACCCTACAGTGTTATTTTATTTGGCTATTAAAAAATATATACAGATATTTCATAAAGTGAGACAATATTGATAATATCTTTGATGAAGACCTTCCCCTTAATGTTTTGCCAATATTCAATGATATGCGTGAATAATTTTATTACTTTTTAAAATATTGCAACACTCGACTATGTTCTTGTCTATCATCTAAGCAGATGAGAATTCCTTCTTCATCTTGTTCATACTGCCCTCTATTGTTAGCTCATTTCTCTATTGGCTTTAAATTCCAAGACTTTCAATAAACAACAAAAACAAGAACAACAGACGAATCCGCCTTGTCACTTTATATACACCTTCGTCGTTTTTAAACATCAAAGATTTCTTTTTTTTCTTAAAATTAGATCATCATGACGCTTTTCTCAGTATTCATTATCATTCCTTTACTAAGTCTAAATCAAGTATTTGCTTCACCAGTTCTTCTATGGAGCAATGCGTAAGTTTTTTGATAATATATTTCTATTTTGAATTGTACTATCTTGTATTTTCAATAGAAATCTTCCTCAATCACCAGTACCTCTTTCGACTCTTACCTCACTTCAAGTTATTTCAAATTATATTTGTAAACTTGACAGTGAACAAATTCAACTTCGTTTGTTTGCTGTTAATGATGTAAGTTAAATAAATAGATAAGAAAGAGATAACACATATTTAACTTTTAGTTAACTAATGAGGACATTCAACGTGGTTCACAAAGCAATCATCCTATTTTACTTGATGCTCAAGTAATAAAATTTAATCAAATCTAAATATTCAATTAAATATTCTTCTTGTTTCTAGAAAGCACAAAGTCAATTTCGTTTCATTCCAAATGTAGCTGCTGATGATGTCTATAAAACATTTTCAATGATTTCTCAATCGAATAATATGCAATGTTCACATATTCATTTTCAAGATGCATCATCATCAATAACAACATATGAAACAGTACATGATGGTAGGTTAAAATAATATGAAAAAAAACTAAATCATAATTCTTTTTTAACGATTATTTTCAGCATTAAATGCAATACAAACATCAATCGATAGTATTGAAACAAATTCAAATACTGTGGTTGTCATGGCATTAATTAACGGTCCAGTAACAACTGTTCGTCAAACTTTGGTATGAGTGACATCTTAAGTAGAGAGATAATTTTATTTTTAATAATTAGACTCGTCGACGTCGAGATATTGAAGTTACCGAAGAAGAGATTATTATATCCGATGATAGAACCTGTATGTTTTATGCTGATAAATTATATTGGGCTGGCGATAATAATAAAAAACCATCAGATGAAAACTATACACTTGCTTTAGATGATAGTTCATGTAAAACAGATGTAAATGCATCTGCAACTATGTATGTTTTTCTTTCAAAAACAAAGGTCAATCATTCAAATATTTTTCTTTTAGTCTTGAATTACATTGGAGTAATGGAACAAGTGATACAATTAAAATGACGTATTGAGATTTTTCCTTTTTCCTATTCTTTTAATAAAAATTATCGTTTTAGTTTATATGCCAATATAACTGGTCGATATTGGTATTTAGAAAAAGCAGTCATTGGTGATACTGAATATCGTTACTTTGCTTATGGTATGCATAGTAAAATGGATACACCACCAAAATATTCATATGTATGTACAACAGCAACATTCATTAATTATAATGCATCAACAAAATATGGCACATATGATTTTCGTGATAAATTCTTTATAACAAATTTTCAAGTAAAAAAACAAAAAATATCATTGATTAAAATAATTTTTTTTGTATTTTTAAGTTTCAACCATTTTATGGAAATGGTTCATATTTTGGCCCACCAAATTATTGTACTTCATTTTTTACAAGTGGAATATGGATGGGTATAACATCAAGTTTACTTTGTTTAGGAATATTATTATTTGGCGTTACTCGTATGATGAATATTAAATCAAATAATCGATTAGATGATGCAAAAAGCAAACCATTAATAATCAAAGCCCAAGAATAAACGTTCTTTTCTTTTTTTTCTTTTTCTTCTTCTTCACCTTTCTTTATTTTAATTATTGTGCAATAGATATCAAATCATTTATTTAATTAAAATTATTTATATTTTGTTTTCCGTTGTATTGTGATGATAATTATTCGAACAAAATCGATGTTTTCTTTTTTTCTCCTTTGCAATATATAAATGTTCGTGTGTGCATATGTGATTAATTTTAGATAAACAAAAAATTCTTTATTTTTCCTTTCAAAAGATCGATGCAGATTAAATTCGTAACTGAAATGAATACAGAACTTATTTCTGAAGATTCATCTTTTATTTGTGTAAAATCATTTTCATCATGGATTGTGGATTTTTATTTTACAAAAATCTATGCAAAACAAATAAAATTAATAAATAAATCTATTCAACCAAATAATCTTATTGGATTTTATGATATGTTTCTTATTTATAAAAGAATTCAATCATCATCATCATCATCGTTGACAGAATTTATTCAATTATGTAAAAATAAATTAAAACAAATAAAAGATAATGCCATACTTGAAAATTATGAGAAGTATTTAAATCGTTGTGGTTTAACAGATATAATTGATATTTTTCATCAATGTCAATTCGAATCACATGTGAATACAATTATTTTATCAATTAATAGTATTAAAAATGATATGGATCAATTATTTTGTGAATATTTATTGGAATTATCATCAGTATCATGGTGTATTTATGATATAGAAACGAAATCAATAACAATAGAAACAAAGGAAAATTTAATGAAATTAATTAATTATGAAAATAAATCTGATGAACAAATAAATATCAAAGTAAGTTATCTGGTTGAATTATTATCATCAGTACCATCTTGAGGGTGTGGGTGAAAGCGTACCAATCCTCACCCACATCCTTCATATATGTATTTAATTTAACAAATTCATTTTTATTTTGTTGCATAGAATAATATAAAACATACATTATGTACATATCTATCATTATTACTGGACACACGTAATGAGCATGCACTTATTCACTGTCTTATGATACCTCGACGAAATGGATTTGAACAAGCAACAATTGTTGAATTACAACGTTTAGTGAAAAATTCATCTTTAACAATCTATGAAATGCTTCTTTCATTTCTTCGACGCAACGAACTAGTCTCAAATCGATCTGCAACATCACAAGAAAATTTAATAAATAATGATAATGAATTATTTCATATTCTTAGTAAATATTTTATCGGTATAAAAGAATTTTTTGATTTTATTGAACAATTACAAATGATAATTAGGGAAAATGAACATTCGAAAATTGAATCAATGTAAAAAAATCAAAAAATATTATTTTTTCTGTATAAACATAAAATTTTATTATGTTTAGGGTAACTTTTCGTAAATTATTGGAATTAATTTCAAAGCAATTATGTAAAGATGAATCATTTAATCGGCATAATTTAATAGTAGAAGACTTGGTTGAAGAATTTTGTCAATGTTTTCAAACTAAGATGGTTAGTTAACGATCATTCTTAGAATATATTCTTATTTTTATTATTGTAGTCTGTATCATCTGATGATACATTAGTTGGCCAACATTTTCTTCAATCTGTTGCTTATCTCTGTACTAAACAAACAATTGATTTACCTATATTTATCTTAAATGATGATCATATAGAAGTGGTATCATCTAGTAAAAATCAAGATCAACAATGGTAAATAAATAAGTTTATTACTTGCTTAAATTAGTTTTTGTTCGTTGTATTTTAGTACATCACATCGATGTTTTAATTTATCAACAATTCATGAAACAAGTTTCGAATCAGATTCATTAATAGATAATTTAACTACTTCTGAGGAGATACCTCAACCACAATCGATTATTAAACGACAACCGCTACAAGTAATTGATGTAAATTTATTTAATAATGAAGAACGATTCAGTGAAAATTCAATAGTATTGACATTAGTAAGTGATGATGATAAAGAAAATTTACCGGTGATAAGAAAAAAACGGCCAACAATATCAACAAAAAATGAACCATCAAGTAAAAAACAAAAAAAATAAATATAAAAATACATGAAGCTGGCCAAAAAATCATTACTAGTATTTTTCAATTGACAAGTTAATTTATCGAATAGAATTTTTTTTTGTTCTTTCTTGTTCAATTTTTTGTTACTGTTACATATATATATTATATATTTGAAAATGTCAGATATAGATTCAGATAAGTTGTATATTATTACTCAATTGACTATGTCTGATATATTATAATTAGGCAAATTATTCAATTCGAATTATTATTTTTTCCAAAAAACGAAGATATAAGAAATTTTTTTTTCTTTATTATTACTCTTTTTCTTTCCTTTGTGTATCTAGTTCGGTTATTATTGTATCGATGTTATTTTTGATACTTAAAATAAAATATTAGTCCAATTTATCTTTTCATTTAAATTTATATGCACACTACGAAAACTATGTTTCATTTAATAAATTCAAAAATAACAAGCATACATGATGTTCTAGTTTTAGGAAAACTGACATTCTTATAAAATCTTAAAACTCGAAGAAGAATATATTGATTTTAGATTCTTAGTATAATTATACTTTGGCTGAAAATTTAGAAGATTATCAAAAGTTTTTGTTATGGATGCATGAAAAGAGAAATACTTTGCTCCCAATCTCTTGCTTATGATGGTCTCTTATCTAGCTCGAAAAATTTCGTGATTTCATTAAATATTCATAATATAAGTATGAATAGACAAAATTTTCAAACAAAACAGTACCTGTATGACTATATATCTTAAAAACTATTTTGCATGATTTGGTAATTAATTTTATTATCGGTATTATGAACTATGAAGAAGAGCACGGATTTTTCTCAAAAAGTTAATCATAGATATCGTCTCCACCAAAATATTGAACTGATCGATATTTTGAAAACAATTATGCTTAGTATATCGTGATGTTAATCACTGGATAGGTATAAATGAACAGTTGTCAAAAAAGTGGCGCCATCATTCGCATTGATCTATATATCTTGTTAAAATATCTTAACATATTTGAATAAATAACAATGACGAAGAGAGATTTTCGAATCATAATGTAATTATTGTTTATATATAGATTAATTATAAGAACTTCTTTCTCCTAATTGGCTTATTTCTTTCGTGGTCTTTGTTGCGTTCACTCAGGATGACTGACAATCGCACTTCACACTTTCGTTCGTTTGTTTTCTTTTTTTTGCTTTCGAATTGAATTGTCTCGACGTTAATAAATATTTAATTTCTTTTTTCAGAGCAATCTAATAGCATGCCATCTCAGTTTAATATTGATGATTTTGAAAGACTGAGTAAAGTAGGAGAAGGTATATATATTTGCATTCATATAACTTTCATTTTTTATATAAAAAAAAACAAACTTGTATTCTTATTTATATCAGGCACTTATGGCATTGTATACAAAGTTTGTCATCGACCAACATCACAGATATATGCATTGAAAAAAATTCGATTAGAAGGTGAAGATGATGGCGTACCAGCAACAGCTATTCGTGAAATATCAATTTTAAAAGAACTTCGACATCAAAATATTGTTCAGTAAGAATTAAGAAAATAATAATATAAAATAATTCTTTCAATTTCTCTTTCTTTTGAAGACTTCGTGATGTTATACTTACAGATGCTCGTCTCTATTTAATATTTGAATATTTAGCAATGGATTTAAAGAAATATTTAGATTGCTTAGGTGAAAACGAAGATATGGATGCCTTACTAATTCGAGTAAATAAATCAATTTCTATAAAAAATTTCTACTTCTTTCTTTTGTAGAGTTATATGTATCAAATGATTGATGCATTACTCTTCTGTCATTGTCGTCGAATAATTCATCGTGATTTAAAGTAAATTAAAATAAGAGTTTTTATAATTATGAATAGGAATATCTTTCTGTAATTAGACCACAAAATCTTCTTGTTGATACAAAAGGTATTATTAAACTTGCTGATTTTGGTCTAGCACGAGCATTTAGTGTACCATTAAGAATTTATACACATGAAGTAAAATAAAATAAGAAATTTTGTTATGATTAGAAATGCAATCTAATTTCTTCAGGTTGTCACATTGTGGTATCGAGCACCAGAAGTTTTGCTTGGTGCTTCACGTTATTCATGTCCAGGTATTAATAACAAAAATAATTATGATTTTTATTTTAAAAATCTTTTCTTTGTATTTTTGAATAGTTGATGTTTGGTCAATCGGATGTATTTTTGCTGAAATGTATACAAAACGACCATTGTTTCAAGGTGATTCGGAAATTGATCAACTCTTTCGTATTTTCCGGTAAATAGGTTTTTGTTTATCAATATAAAAATCATATCTTTCTTATATTCATATAGAACACTCGGTACACCAAGTGACGAAACATGGCCCGGTGTTGTCTCTTTACCTGAATTTAAATCATCTTTTCCACGATGGAAACAAAGCAGTGATTTATCATCATTACTTAATGATCGAATGCGTGATGATGCACTTGATTTACTTCTCGTTCGTTGATATTTTCTATTATTATTATTAATTTATTAACATTGTTTTGTTTTTGCTAATCATTATAGAAAATGCTTGTCTACGATCCAGTGAAACGTATATCAGCTAAACAATGTCTCAATCATTCGTATTTCAAACAATTCGATCCACAAAACTTGCCTGTACCGGCACCCGTTGTTGTGCCTGTTGTCAAAGAAGGAGCCAAGTAATAATGAATGTGTGTGTGTGTGTACGTACATGTCTTATATGTTAACTGTTACGTCAGATATTTTTTTGTTCCTTTTCCTAACTGATATATGTTCTTACACTTCTCTAAAAATCTTTCTCTTTTTCATGGATAAAAAAAACTCGTACATATAACTGTTGACTTATCTGTTCATTTTTTCTTATCTCATCAATCACACATATTTTTTTTAATACGATGTGTAGATTGAACTATTTCTTCCTCTTTCTCTTTTCTTTTCTCACGCGTGCGTATAACGTGAAAAACAATGAATCTGTACAAAGAATGATGACACAAAATTACTTTCATAGAAAAAATACATACGCATATTATTATTTCATTCTTTTTTTTTCTTCTCTATTAATTAATGAAATATGAATAATGAAGAAATATCTTTTTTTATTTAATTTTTGAATAATAATATTCAGAAAAGCAAACTGAAATTGATGAATAACTGATCGATAGATATTCTTATCAAAGAAGTACTATTGTTTGAAAATATTATTATGACTACTTAAATGAAGACAATAAGTGATACTCAACGCATAATAATTCTTAGAATGAGATATTTCATAACAACTTACTCTGTTCATACGTAGTACTAGAGCTAAAGCTAGTCTTAGTTAACATCGTTTCTTGTTGATCATAATCTGTATAAATAGGATAAGACTAAATCATGCTCGATAGTGATAAACATATTTTCAGTATTCAATTGAAATCAACAAACATCTTACTTATTGTAATATAATACTAATAATTAGAACAATTATCACAAGAATTGAATAAATGTATACATAAATGCTATTTATTAGTTTATTTATAATAATAAATAAAAACATGATAAAATTGACTATATTTCTCTAAACATAAGTTACATTTATTGTCATTTATTTGTTGGTTCATATGTAGAAGTTTGAGATGAATAATGATTATTGTTTGATTCAGTTGAATTATCGGTTGATGTATTCGGCGTTGATATTGACGAATGAGAATCTATACTTTCTTGATCATCGCGTGAAACACGTACCCAGTGGAAAGAATAAACAACTGAAGACATTTTATTTTTATTTTCAATAAATACTTTTAATTAGTGCATTTACATTGCCTTTTATACTCTCAGATGAGTTCTCCGTTCCCTACATGTCATGTAGTAAAATGAGAATTGTACAACTCAGTTTATTATTGTAGACTTTGTACTGTGTTCTGCTCTCTGCATGTACTGTAGGCTTTCAGTGCAAAACAAAATTACCATTCAGCGTGCGCCTGTACCTCTGCGTGCTATTATTAAAGAGTAAATCACATACAACAAAAGATTAGGCATACAATTTATATTTGGACATTTAGTGTCAATTAGTAAAATTCGGTTCTCGTTGTCGTCTATTATATGATGAATCTAATTATATTCTCAATAAAAAGCAAGTAGTTATATTTTAACTAAGACCAACAAGTATCGCACTCAAAGTTCATTCTTATCTATCTCAGTATCAAAAAAAAAACAAATTAAATGAAAGTAAGAAATCATTTAGCATTTGTCAAAGTATTTTATTAATTGTAATTGATAAGGATACATAGTTTGAGCTTTAATAATTGTGCTGATTTGATTATAATTTAAATTCATTTTTAATACGATGAGCAGCTCGATATCGAAATCTCGATTTTAAGTTTTTCACAGATTTTTTAACATTCACGATCATTTTAGAATAAAGTCAAATTTATATACTGTCAATATCAAAATACAGCTGATACTAATTCAACAGATAAGTTTATGCAAATCGAGATTTTAAACTAATATATGTTGACAGAACATTGGTGATTCATTATCTATCATCAGCTATTATTTGAAAAATATCATGTCTGATGAAAGCGTGTGACATCCTCTATTTCAACAAACAACTCAATCGAAATTTTATTACTATTTCATTAGCTTAAGAATAATCAAATATCACACAACAGTAGATTATTAATTTTACCCTTACTGCATATAAAAAGAAAGACTCATAATACTGTAATTTCTATCGATGGAAAGAACAAATAACAGAACATGTTGTTCTTCAATTTTATACAAAAGAAAAGTATTTCAAAATCAATTCCTTCTATCAAGTATCACAAAATGTACAACAACTATTTTTGATTGAGACGAAACTTAAATGAATAAAAACCAGTTTGGTTCATATTAAGAGTAGTATATCTTTTACGAAGGACTAATCAGAGAGTTTCATTTGATTAATATTATCTTATAAAAGATTAAAGAAAAAGATGTCATAATATCATTTTTCTTGTCTTTCTAGCTCTTTCTGTTGTTAAGTTCATGCTTTTATTTCTCGGAAAATATACATGTGATACTACTTCGTTGAAATTGTTTGAATTATTTTTAATGAATGTATCCACTTATATGAATACATATAGATACTTGTGGTAATGCTTCTAATCAAAAAGTGATTGACAAAGTTGCACAGATACAAATTAGAATTTTATCTAATGGCAATTAATTGACAATGACTTCTAAAGCTACAGGAGTACTTTTAAATACAATTATTGTTTAGTTCTTTTGCAATGTATAGGAAGATCTTTGAAAGTGTAACTGATTCAAAGAATAAAAGAAAAACTGTTTGAAAAAGTTAGTTGCAAGAAGTACTCATTTTGCAAAGTTTAATTCTGTTACTGAAACACAAACACATATGTGTATTATTTTAAAAGCAATTTATTGTATTTTTAAAGTATATATAATTAAAATTTTTGCCTACATAGCGCGTACATTAGAAATTGTAACATCGCCTTTAACTTGTAATGCTTGAACAGCTTGAAAAGATACCCGGTGTCTATAGGTAAACCATGGTTGACCATTACAATTGACCTATATCAAACAATACATATAATAAAACTAAGACAATTGTTTTCATCGTTTTTCATTTTACCTGATAATGTTCTGGAAAGCAGATAATTTGAATTTCAAATTCTTGACCTGGATTCAATGGAAATCCGCCTTGTTTTTCTTCTGCGCCCCAACCACCACCTTGACATGAATTACGTATTGCTTCTCGTTGATCAAAACGTGGATTAAGATGAAATGCTACATCACCTCCATATGTATTTGTCAATAAATTGAATTCAAAACACGAAGCATTATTATTTGATCGACCATTGATATAAAGTACACGACCTAGAATTTTTATTTAACAAATATTTATTAATTATATATTTTATACTAAAACTTACCAGGAAAAACATTGATAGGAACTGGTGTGTCCTATTAAGAGAAAAACAAAAAAAAATATTTGAATAACAAATCAATAATAATTTTAACCATAGTAAATCGCCATTGTTGACCATTTTGAGTAAAACCAGGATATACTTGAACATGTGATAAACTAACATCACCCTTGACAGTAACTGTTTCAGCTGCATTGAAAGGCATTCGATGATTAAAATCAGCTGTATGTTGATTATTAATGGCAACCTTTTAAAATGATCAAATAATAAAATTATTTTCAGATATGAATCTTACTTTAAAACCTTGTTCTGTAACCATAATAATAATAGTAAATGATTGACCACGTGAAATATTCATTGGTTTACGTTCTTCACTACCCCAGTTACCACTCGGTGCAGAATTCAATACTAATTGACGATCATTTAAACGTGGATTGACATGTAATACAATATCACCTCGATTATTTGCCAAATTAACTTCGAATCTTATTAAATTAATAATAGAATAGGATATTAGCAACAATAAAAAATAATAGTAAACTTACTGATCACCAGTAGCAGTACCATAGACATGTACTTGAGTACCATAACTAATTGATGGTGAAATACGTGTTTCATAAGGTACATTCTAAAATAGAAAAAAAATATATAGCAATACTAATATTTCAATTAAAAATTACAGATAACTTACATGGCGTTGGTTACTTGTTTGCTATAAAAAATAAAATACATGTATAGGTTTATAAAGATCGAATATCTTTATTCTACATACCTGGCCCATGATAATTCAAGAGAATGGATTAAAGTATTGCTCTTTGTTTTTTAGTCGATATATGAATACAGAAACTGCGGCTAAAACTGATTTAATTTATATATCTATATTTTGCTTGATATTATAAAAAAGAGAGAGAAAGAGCGATAAGATCACAGAGCAATTATTCAATGCATTAAATCTTATCTAGTCGATCAAATAAAACAGCCAGAAAAAAAAATAGTTGTGCAAACACAAATACTTGACAGTTGTTTTATACGCACAATAATACTGAGGTTTTTCAAGTAAAAAATAACTGACTAACAAGGTTATCGAAAAATCAACAAATCAAGCTGGTAAAAAAACAGATAAATAATAAACCAAAGCCAGTTTTATCATATTCTCATATCTAGTATTTATTTTTGATGGAAATAATTCTATAAATAAATTTTATTGTATATTTGAAAGGTTTAAAAGATTCCAATAATATACTTCTTCAATAAATATTATTATTTTATTATCTATTTATCGTAATAATTCATATTTGATTTAAATGTATCATAAATAAAAGTTCTTAAATTATTTATAGTATTGATTAATATTTTATTTTCTCACAGAAATTGCATTAAATTATCAGAAAACAATATTAAAAAAATATAATCAAAAGGTTAATTAAATGGAAAAAAATTATTTCTATCAAGTTAAAATGTAAATAGAAAATAATCAAGTTTTTACATTTGTCCAACACTCGTAATTGTGATATCGCCTTTATATTGAAGTGCCATGACCTAAAAAGAAATAGATGAATGTTTTGTTATTAAGTAAAATTCAATAAGATTTCAATTAATAATGATACTTACACTGCCAGGTGGTATTTTATGATAAAATTCAGCAATAAGATGATTATTCATAAATATCTGAAACATTGAATATGTGTATTTATATGATAGATTTTCAAAACATGTATTTCTTACCGTATATTTATCCATTTGACATGAAATTTGTAAATGAATTGGTGCACCTGGTGCTAAGGGCATATGGTGTGGAAATGGTTGATTTTCTTCTTGACCCCATTGACCATTTCGTCGATGATTTTTGACAATTGTACGTGTATCAAAACGAGGATTAAAATGAAATGCTATATCATCACCATCTGAATAGCCTTGTAATAAATTGAGTTCAAATCGATTAGCACCAACAGGAATAAAACCTTGTACAAAAATACGAGAACCAGTATTGATTCTGCATGACTGTATGGATGGTACTCCAGCATTCTACATTAAATTATAAATAAAATTGTTCTTTAGACTAGAGTAGTAGAAATAAACCGACCGGCATTGATGGAGGAGCTGATGGAGATCCAAAGCCAGGAGTGAAACCACCAAAAGTTGATTGAGATGTTGGTGGTGGTGGACAATAGCCCATGCCTCCTCCAAAAGCTGGTTGAGATGATGGTGGTGGTGGACAAAAGCCAGGATTTCCACCAAAAGCTGATGGAAATGATGGTGGGGCAAAAGCCATATCACCACCCATAGGAGGAAAACCCATGGGACCTGTTCCTGGATAGACCTGAACAGATTCTAAGGTAACATCACCTTTGATTTCAACTTGTTGAGCCAAATGCATTGGTGAGCGATGATAGAATTCACAAACATGACCATTGTTCACAGCAATCTACAATAATTTTAAAAAATAAATTTGTTCAAAATCTATTCATTGAAATTATTTGATATACTTTGAAACTACGATCTGTTGCTAAAATGACCATTGTGAATCGTGCACCACGATGGAATGGTAGTGCATGACGCTCTTCTGATCCCCAATTGCCTTGTGGAGCTAGATATTAAAAGAACTTACATTATCGATATAAACATATATATATATATCTTCATCATACCATTATTAAGAATAATTGCACCATCATCGAGACGAGGATTAACATGTAATACAATATCATTTTGATAACTTTTCAAATTAATTTCGAATCTACATAAAATATAAATATTCAATAATTTAATTTTGATATAGGTGTGAATAATGAGACCTGCTGCCAGTGGGTGTGCCACTAATATGAATCTGTGTGCCATTTGAAAGTGAAGGCGTTATTTGAGTAGTATAAGGTACAGGCTAAGAAAATCAAGTAAAGATGTAAAAAAAATAAATTCAAAACTATTTACTAATCCATAGTTCATTCCACCACCGTAACTAAAATGCATTTTGCTCGAAAGATGAAAGTAATTTGATAAAATGAATTCAAAACAAGGCAACGTCGACTCAAAGGTGATCCTACTTTTTATTCGTATAGATACGTTTTCTCTGTTATCTATATTTGTCAACAGAGGCACTACAATATTTTTCTTTTCTTTTTTCTTTTACTTTCTTTGCTTCTCGAAAGCTCTCTTTCTCTCTTTTTATTTTATTTTAGAATACTGATAAAAGCTTCGCTAACGTCACTCACTATTAGTCAGATGATAACAATAACTTCATTAATCATATCACTGTATTATCTCCAAATGTAAATCTTTACCTTTCATAAAACTGTGAATAATAATAACAACAATAATAGAGTCCATCATAGTATCGTAACTTCGAAATAAAACACTTTCTAAAATCATCATTTACATTTTATCTTTCAAGATTTTTATATAGTACATTTTTACTATCTATACAAGTGTCTTACATATGAAAGTAAAAAGCACCAATTATTCCATCGATATCTGTTGATGCTCTAATGAAGATATCATAATTGAACAGTAATAATCAAATGAAAGGCTTACAGTTCTAAATCACAACAGTATTACTTATAGAATCATGATTTTTCCGTCGATTTGATTTTTGAATGATTCAAATCGTGCAAATGTAAATCATTTTAAAAATTTATTCTGACTTATTTGTGTATTGACATATTTCTATATTCTCTGATGATATGATTCATGCACAAATAATCCTATTTTTTGTGCAAATGTATTATTAGTGATATCTCATCGCAATGGTAAATATTGACACATTAGAAAAATATGAAAACAATTACACGTCAAAATTCCTAGTAGCATCAAACAAAAATCTCGACCAATCCATAACATCTCAAGTGTTTTATCTAAATATATGTCATACGTATATATATTTAAAAACAAAACATATTCTTCGTACAATTAGAAATAAGTTTTTATTAAATTTTAAGCGCAACTTTATTATATTTCCTTGTTTTTCATGTGATTAATAAAAATTCACATGTCGAACGATTCAATAATTCATTTATCATTTTATCTCATTCTCTTTTCTCATGATTTAATCTTCAATAAATCACAACTATGATCGATGGCTATTTTTAAGTTATTCTTTCTAATTTTAATATTATTTAATGAGTATCATATTTGTATGACAATGGTTTATTCATGGTTGAACAAGATGTTAGGATATTTCTCACATATAAAATATAATAGAAAAAAACAGAAACAAAAATCGACACCATATTTCATTATAGAAAATGCCGAAAAAGAACAATTACTTTCATCCTATTCATCTATCTATCATATCTTTTCACCACCACTTAAAATTTGTATGTTACGAAAGATTCGTTGTCGACTACAATCACAAACATCCTCATTATCGGTAAAACCATTCAAACAACAATCTATTGTTTGTTTATTAAATGAATCTCAAAATTGTTCTGAAAAATTACCTTATCAAAATAAATTTTCGATCAATCATGTTAAAAAATATCCTAGTTTAATTGCTATCGATATTGATAATAATGATTTATCACGAGAACAATTCTCAAACTTTCATTCTTCGATAGAAAAATCAAAATCAATGAAAGAAATTCAATTTTATCGGTAAGAAAATAATAAATCTTATGTTATTTTACCTTATTCTATTCACGTTAAGAAAATCAATTATTAAATTAGTTAATAGTGATACTTCTCAAACAGTATCATCACATTATTGTCAATATTCATCTTTTTGCATTCAAAAACAAAAAAGTGATTCGATAATATATATTCAACAACAAAAACATGCTGTTGATCATTTATACTATTTCAATTCAAAACAACAATCATTTCCTAACTATTCATCACATAATACTAATTCAACAACATATGATTCACCAGTATTAAGCGAAACGATTATTGATACATTAAATTCAGATAGTGAAATTTCGACTTTAGCTAATAAAAAATCTGATAAAACATGGCGACTTAAAATTCATGATGATTTAAACAAAGATGGTAGTCGTCATTTTGTCATGCATAAAGGTATATTAAATATATATATATATATTTATTCCTATATTTTGAATCTGGATTCTAGATAGTGAAGAATCTATACGTAAACGTCGGGATAATAAACGTATGAAACGATCAGAAGAAAAGAAACGAAAAATAAAAGAAAAAATATCAAAAGCAAATGAACGTTGGCAAAAATATTCTAATATTGATTATGAACTTGTTTTTTTTATTTCACGTTATTATGATCAATTACCGTTATGTTCAAATTGTCGAAATTATTTTATAACTCATCAAACACAATTTTTAGCTGAAGATCCACGTGCATCATTGGATTATGCAGCTGATACTGTTCTAAAATCTTCAAATGATAAAACAATAACAATGAAACAAGCAGCTAAAGCAAGATTAATCAAAGATTATGATAAACAAACAGATATTATATTTCATCTTTGTGATTCATGTTTAACTAAATGTGAACAAATTCGAAATGAACTTAAACAAATACGTTCTACTCAAAAAATGTCAAATGAATTAAATTCACCAAATGCTAATATAATGCCAATGGTAGAATCCGAAGTACATTCACAGCAACATACTCCTTCATCGCCTTCTAACATTCCCACTTTTAATAATCAGTTTTTTCCATCTATTATTTCCTCACCTTTATCATCATCACCACCACCATTTACTACAAATGTAGTTCAACAAGAAAAATTAATATCGCCACCCTTTCATAATACAATGACTGGTTAGCTATTTATATCTGCTATATTATCATTCAGTCATTTATTTATTTCTTATACAGATATGAATCAACTTTATATGAATAATCTAATTCAATATCATCAAATAAAACTAGAAGAATTCTATCAACAAAGTCAACATATTATTCTTACACAACAAAATTATCCATCAACTATTAATGATCAACAACAACTACAACAAAATCTACAATTTTGTATACAACAAATGCAATATCATTGTTTAGAAATATTACATCTTCAATATCCTAATTATTCACTTTCATTTCCATATCTTCCATCATATAATTTACAAAATTTGTCATATCGACATCAACAAATCGAAGATAATAGTGAAAGTTGTTCATCTACTACTGAGAAAAGTGATAGTAGTATTGATGATAATAAGAAATATTGTTCAGATGAATATCATATAAATGAAGAATCAAATGATGATCGGTTAACAATAAAAACATGTCACGGACTTGTTGAATATTGTAGTAAGTCATAGATAATTTCATTTCAATTCTATAAGAATTCCGATAAATATATAAAAAATCCATCGAATGTTTTCACTAGTAATATATACTTAATTAGAAATTTTCTACATGTAATTACATATACATTATATATGATGTTATAATAAATTTACAGTTTATTTTTGAATAGAAGTAAAAAGAAGTTTAAAAAATCAAAAAATATGTTTGATTTTAGATGCACCATTAGATGATTTTATACGTGGTATTCAAGTATTGAAATGTCTTAGCACTTTTAACCGTTATTCTTGTTGACTTAAATATAAATCATCAAAACACAAGTATATACAAATAGGCAATATTATTCTTAAACACAATCATGTAGGTAAGTATACAATATAAACGTTGGCGTATACTATCCTGTATACGTATTGCTTTTAGTAGTCTTTACCAATCAACATTCTGTAGGAGGCATGAAGCATTCAAGTGTGACAATTCAACGACTGAAGCCTTATTTTTTTCTGTGTTTTTTTTTTCGTTATTTTTCGCCTCTTCTTCGTATACAAAATACTATCATAATAGGTATATTTCATACAGATTATTTACATTTGGTAGTAGCAAAAACATAGTTATGATTCTGTATGGATATTTTGTTTTATTTGCTTTAATAATATCTGCAAGTGGCAAATATGAACAAGGTAAATTATTTATATAGAATTTTTATACAGAGATCTGTTAAAAACTAATCATTCTATTTTATTTAGATGATAACGATTCTGAAGAAGGTAAAAATTATATTATCATTTTTGTAATTATTTATATTAACTAATTTATTATAGATCTTAAGAGTATGTTACGACGTTTTGACAATAGAGAAGACTTGATTGAACGACGTCGTGAACATAATGATAATACTCATTCAATTAACGATTTATCAGAAAGAAAGATACATGGAGGTATAGTTTTATGTTATATGTAACTTTGAATTTTTAATTTCATTGCTGATAAATAAGAATATATAAAATTTATAATCGCTATAAAGACCTAATTCAGTTCACATTGATAGCAAATGAATTGATCGGCATATATTATTTATTAGTATTTTTCTATTTAAAATTCTACATAAAATCAGATTGATAAATTTCGAATCGAGAATACTATTCATAGTCAATTCACACAGTTGATTCGATATGTCTATTGATTACATACATTAGATTAATACTATAGATAATACGTTCAAACCACACTCACATTCATCATTAGACATTTAAAATGTATTTAGATATGATTGTATTATAATTAAGTAAATATCGAGTTTTCTACTATTCGAAATTTCATACTTTTTATAGCTTGAAAAACTTTATTTGTATTTTATTTTATCTATTATAGCTCCAGGTGGTGCACCACTTCTAAATATAACTGTTCATCATCGTGGTTTTTATTATGTTTCAGTAAAAATTAACTATCTTCGAAATGGATTACAAGATGAATATGAAACCGATTCATTTTTTGATGGTACAAATAAAGTATTTCCTTTACAAAAAAATCCAACGGATGATATCAAATATGTACGCATACGTTTTCATGTCTCGGTATCTGATGATGTTTTTGGTGATTTTCAAATTCTTGATCCAAAAGGTGCTGAGCTTTGTTTTGTTCTTTCTGGTACAATATTCAGTCCAGTCTATAGTATATGTGCAAAAGGTGAAAATTATTCAGGCAAATAACATTCCTTCACCATCTACATATTATAGACTAAAAAATTCATAAACTTTTTTTTTCTTTTATTACTGATTTTTTTTTATACATCTAACATGCAATTTTTTTTAACAACGGTTTCTTTAAAACAAAAAAAAGTAACTACACATTAACTCCATTGCGATCCATCAACTTCTACACCTTGTCGCCATGCAATTAAACAGACTTTCACTTTATTTTTTATTGATTTTTCATCAAATACTTTATACACAATAATTCGTTTGGAATTGTATTTTGCACCTTCTATACGTGTAGTCACTAAATCAATAACATCGCCTTCTTTAATCTACAATAAAATAAATATATTCAATGAAAATTTTATTACAAAAGAAAAGTATGTTCACTATCATACTTGTTGTGCTTTTTTAGTTGATTTTTCACCATTAACACGTAGTTTTGAACCATAGAATTCATCTTCGATCGTACTATATGTACAATAATGTCAAAAATAAATAATCATTGTTTTAAATATTACCTTCGTCCCATACCAGTTCCGGCTGAACAAATAATATCTAGACGAAGTGAAGCAATATGTCGAATGATTATTCGATATCCTATATAAAAAAATTAATTGATATTATTTTCTCGTAAAATTATTCTATTACCTTTTGGTATTTTATATTGTTGAATACTAGTTCGTATTTTTTCTTCTTCATTCTATAATAAAATCAATCTATTTTTGATAATTATATTAGAATTATATAGATTAATAAAAACGAAAAGTATATTACTTGATCTATTCCACTAGCATCATCATTATCATTATCTTCTTCTTCTTCTTCATTATTAACTTCTTCAGTAAGACTTCCATCAATTTTATCTCGACGTCTACCATGACATACTGTTGAAGAAGAAAATAAACAAGTCTGTTGTATTGTCGGTGTTAAAATATGAGATGATGTCGATGGAAATAATAACTGAGAAGATGGTAATAAGAATCTTTGATAAGATTTAATTCTCAATAATGATGAACGTAATGTTGAAATAAGACGAAGAGTAGACATCTAAAAAACAGTTTCTTATATAATTTATTTATCGAAATATCTTCACTTTATTTTTATATTTTAAATATGTAACATCACCAGAATGGAAACAGAAATGATAAATATTAATAACAAATATGAAATAGTTAACCGAAAGTAATGAAATACAAAATGGAAAAGAAAAAAAAACAACAACAACAATAACAAAAAAAACTGTACAAGAATAGTCATAAGAAAATCAATATAATTTAACACATAGCTTCATTTGGACGTATTTGATCTTCTTGTTGTCGTTTAATAAGACAATCAAATTGATTAGCTGATGTTAATTCAATAATAGTTTTTCGTTCAATAGCATTTGAATAAAGTTTTTGCCAATCTTCATTTATCTATATTAAGAAAAGAAGAAATATTTTTCTATTATTAAATAAAAGAAAAAAAATATCTACATTTAATGAATTCATATGACCCATTATATACATAGCATATTTCGCTCGAGTTAATGAAACATTTAATCGTTGTCGATTAGCAACAAAACCAATTCCTGTTGTTGTTAAATCTGTATTTTGTGTAGCTCGAACACATGATAAAAGAATAACATCTTTTTGTCGACCTTGAAATGCATCAACTAAATAAAGAATAAGAATAGAAAAAATAATATATATATATTTTCTATGTTAAAAATTAAACCTGTTCCAATTTCGATTTTATGTTTTTGAAGATTTCGTTGAATTAATTTTTGTTCTATAAGTTTAACTTGATAATTATATGGCGTAATAATACCAATTTCTTTGAGAGAAAACAAAACACATGTAAAAATGATTTGATTTTAAAAAAAGATTCTATTTACGACTATATGGTACTTTGGCTCGTTCATTAATAAATTCTACTAGACATGCAATAATATCTGCTTCAAGTAGATTTCCATATGATTGTGTTATAGGATCAAGTTCATCTTGACCATTAACAACATCAAGTACCATATATGGTTTCAACAGAAATTTTTTTCTAATAAAATAAATAAATTTAAATATGTAAAAATTAAGTTTGAGATGTTTGTAATTTACCGTTTTTGATTGATAATTTTATCGGTTTTTAATTTTGAACGATAAATATGCATCGATGGAAATTTACATATTTCATCATGCATTCGATATTGCTAAAAAAATTCATCATTTTATATGTCGAAAGAAAGTTTAGTTCATTAATATCAATGAATATATTACACAGTACAGAAACAAATACAGCCAGACTATATTTCCACTGAATAAAATAGTTTAATATTCAACAGGAAGATATGTAATATATCAAATATTCATTAAAATCCGATTTTTGATAGAAATAAACAAGGACTGTCGGGATTAAAAGTGTAACTAGAACTCAGTATCAGAATAAAATTTGTAACTTACCACGTTAAGCATACGAATTGGATTGTTTAAGTCATATTTAAACAATTTATAAAGACGTTCGAATAGAGATTGATTTAAACCAGCTTCAAGTGCTCGTCGAGATAATATTGTTGCAGGACTAGTATAAATAGTTTCATATAGTTACAAAAAATAAAGAGAAATTAGTAAAAAATTTACAGTTGTTCAGGATCGCCAACAAGTACAATTCGATTCATTCCAAGTCGAAGTGGAATAAAATTATCAATTTCAATACATTGTCCAGCTTCGTCAATAATTAAACAATTAAAAAGACTAGATATTGTCGTAGATGTTGATGATGATGCTGTTGATGGCTTTTTAGGTTTGTCAATTTTATCCAATTGATTATTTATATCAAATGGTGAAAAAGTATCAAATATTGAATTTCCAACATAATTAAGAGTTGATACACAACTAGTTAATAAATAAAATAAGAAAAAGAAAGGAGCAAAATTATTTCTATGTACATATCAGCATCTTGTAATAATTCTAATTTAATTTCACGTTCACGTTGACGTCTAGCAGATTCAGGCATAGTCTAAAAATCATGAAATGGAATTGTTTTTTTTTCTTATTTTTAAAATTTCAATGAATCTAAATACTTTTCGACATGTTTGTTGTAATTTAAGAATACTAGCAGTTATTTCTTTTAAATTCAATTCTAAATCTTTTAACTAAAATAAATGAAAAATTCGAATTAATTTTTTTGTTATCCTTGTGAAATTAAATCATACAAACCTCATCGGAAGTATTATCTTTAGAAGATATTGCTTGTTGTTTCTGTTTTTCTGCGTCAATTCTTTGTAAAAGTTGTTTTTTTTGTTTTTCTTTATTTGCTAAATTTCTTTCAATAGCTTCATTCTGTCCACCAGTATTTAATTCTAAAAATTCAATGATCAAAATTTACTTATTTCTTTTTGTTATCAATGAAATACCTTCTTCTAGACGTTTTTGTGCAAGTATATCAAGTGATACATTTTCAATATCTTCACTTACTCCACCGCCTCGTGCACAACGAATTAATTTAAATGGTACTGAAATAAAAATGATAAATCATGAATGTTTTCTTTTTCTGTTTCAATTTACATTTTGAAGTAGTTTCATCAGTTGTTTTACGTCCAAATACATCTATAAGACGACGAACTATTTCATTACAACCACCATTTGAAGGACAACATATTAATATTTTCATCTTCTTCTGTATTGTTGTTGTTGTTGTTGTTACAGATGCTTGATCATTTGAAGGAGATAAAGATAATATTGGCTAGAAGATTGAAAGTGTGAAAATAAAATCATAATAATATTTTACTTGTAAAAGTGCACGAACAATCCCAGTAATTGTTTGAGATTTACCTATCCATAGAAAATATATAACATAAACATTTTCGAATTGAATTAAAATTACCTGTGCCAGGTGGACCTTGACACATATAAATTTTAGCTTGATTATCATCTTTTGTATCACGTAACATTGACACAGCTTCACTAATAACATTTCGTTGAGATTCATTATAAGCCTAAAAATTAAATAAATATTTCTTTTTTGTTGTTTTTCATTTGAAAATATTTCTAATAACCTGAAGATATTTTTCCTCCATACAATTATCTTGTTTATTTTTTATTTGAAATACATCGTCACTCAATGATGGACTAAGTAAATATTCAAATAGAGGACATGAACGCATTGATGCAAGAGCTTTAAAACGACGTAATGTTGCAGTTAATGATGTAATTGCCTAAATTACTAATAAGTCTTTTTTTTGTATTATTAAATTATTTTTATACTTTAATCTTTATTTTTGATCCATCAATAATCTTTAGTCCATTACCAAATATACGAATATAATATTCATAACAGAACCATATTGGTGGTCGAATTTTAACATCGGGATGTTCATCTAAAATAAAATATTTTTTATAAAGTGAAATAATAGAAATCTATAAAATGAACTTACGGAATGATTTATGTAAACGTTGTTTATCCGTAATTCGTTCTCCACTTCGAATAAGACCAAATATTTTAGTTACCGGTTGACTTAGTAAGGTAATAACAACTAAATCATCATCGCCAAACATTTCTCGACGTTGATTTGGTGCGGTTGGATTTCGCTTTTGAAGTATCTGAGCTTTTAATTCATATAATCCTGTTTTAAAAAGACGTATTTGAGGAAGAACAGCTTCGTATTCTATTCCAGCTAATTTATGATCATTTAATTTAACACTACGTTTGATCTATTTAAAATAACATTATATAAATTAAAATAAATAAATAATTTATTTACTTCTTCAAATGTTTCTTCGAATAGCCAAGGTAATGTAATTTCTTCATATTCATCAAATGAAGAATAAAGTTCAAGTACAGGTACTGGATAGATATTTTCACCAAGAAAATCTTTATATAAAACATCCGGTTGAACATCTATATATCAAAACAAAAATCGATTAAATTGATTGAAAATCAATGAAATAATATTTTAAACCTAATTCATCAATCAAAGAAATTGGCCATCTAAGAATATAACCAAGATAATCATCATATGCATGAACTTTTCTTGGTTTGCTTTTTTTTTCTCTCATATTTTTTGTTGAAGTTGATTGCAGCGGTAATGTACTTGATATTGATGATGATGATGATACAACAGTTAAATCAATAATAGAATTTGTTGATGATACAGATGAACTAACAGTTGTTGTATTTGCTGTTGTTGTGTTTGTTAATGTAACATGAGTCATTGTGTCAGTCATTTCCTGAACAAGTTTATCAAATGCATTTTTTGGTCCCTTGAAATATGAAAAATTGTTTGAATACGAGAAAGATATAGATATTTTATATTAAAACCTTTTCCGTTGTTCGAATTTTCTTTGATACTGTTGTATCAATTTCATTTGCTTTTCGTTTTACTGGAGCTATTGGTTTTTTTGGTTGAATTACTTTGAATATATAAGAAATTCTTATTTTATTAATATAAAATTAAAATTTTCATACATTGATCGTCATTTGTTGGTTTTGGTTTACGCATTAATTGTTCACGTAATCTTAATTGTTCTTCGGCAACGATTTGTGTCATAGCAACTTGTTCACCACGTGATCGACGACTTCGTAATGTTTTTAATACTATTTTAGTTCTATCCATAACTGACTCTATTGAAAAAATATGTAATAAAATTATTAATTATTAGTAAAACAAACGACAAGAACTTACGATTGTCGGGGGCGAAAGAACTAAAATCTGCATTACTATTAGGCAGTCTTTTTGTGGGTGGTCGAATAATTGATGAAGAAGGAGGATTCAACGGAATGATATCTTCATCATCACTATTAGTAGCTGATCGTTTTTTTGATGAAGAAACTATTGTATTTAATTCCTGTTTCAATCGATCATTTGAAATAGGAATAGTACTAGCACTTGTTGAACCTAGAAAAAAAACATTTTCATAGAAATCAAACATAATATTGATAAATAATTATCATACTTTTTAATGATTTATGTGGTGGTAGTGGAAGTTCAACATAAGAAATACGATGTTTAAGAAATGAATTTGAATACGATCCATTAGTTTCAGATTCTAAATTGATTATGCAATAAAAATATAGAAAATTTAAAAATCAATGTTAATGTTCACCTTTACCTATTTTTACTTTTGTTTCTTCTTCTGTTTGTTTAAGTTGTTGAAATTCTGGTGATTTTTCGAATTGTAATACACTACTCAATAATTCATCATCAGTAATATCTGGAATATTTTCTACTTTTTTTGTTGTTGTTGTTGTCACTGGTTTTAGAAACCGGTCAAGTGTATTATTATTCTTATTATTACTATTATTAGCAGTTGCAGGTAAATTTTTAATACGATCATAGAAATACTTCGACATTATTTTATAATTAATATCAATAGATATTTACATGTAACAGAAAGACTTAATTGAGATATTTTCTTTTATTTATCATCTAAAAAAATCATCAAAAGACAACAAGAAGAATAATATTCTATATATATATATATATGTATGTATATATATTTCTTCTATTTTTCGAGCGTTCTTTCTATTTAAATGATTAAAGAGAGTCAAAATATGAATAAGTAATAGGTAATACAAATAAAGAAAATATCAGAAGAATAGAGTGTATATGTGCATGAAAATGTATAGATTTTCGAAGAAAAGAAAAAAAGTAAAGAAACAAAAAAAATCAATCATATTTCTTCAAGTGTTTTTCGCACACATTCGCTAACTTTTCTTTTGAATGCTACTCTGTCATCTCGCCACATAACTGATGCATCAATATTGGCTGCTGAATCACAGTTTGGATCACTTAGCATCGAAAGAACAGATAAAAGAATTGTTTCTAAAAGAATATCATAGTTAAAAAAAACAGAAAATAAGGAAATTCGTTAGGTATGCACCAATCCCATAAAATGGATGACAAACATGAACAATTTTTGCTATGTAAAACACCCAGTCCTTCTAGTCATTTAAACCCACTATCAATCAGACTTTACAACGCTATTGTTAAACTTTGAGGAATTAGACGGGAAGAAAAAAGGACTTCGAGTGACTTGTAAAAAATTGGAATTTTTTTGTTTTTTCACCAGTCACCCCCAGTCCTTTTTCCTTTCTGTTTTATTTTGCAAAGTTTAACAATAGCGTTGTATAGTCTGATCGATAGTGAATTTAAATGGCTTCGAGAACTGGGTATTTTATATAGCAAAAATTATTCATCTTTGTTATCGACTTTATAGGACTGATGCATGCCTATGACGAATGAAATATAAACATACCAACTGATTGTACAGGTGACCAACGTTCTGATGCTCGTTCGTAACCAAATTGATCGACTCCAGGTTCATGAAGCTATGAAATAAATTTATTAAAAATTTATTTTGAAAAATGTTTAAAACTTACAATAGATATACACACATCGCCATTTTTTTCTATATTTGGATGCCATATCTCCGAAATGAATTTCTATAAATAAAAGTATGTTACTAAATAAAATAAATCAATCATTAGATATATACCATTTTGGGTGGTTTTATTGGATATTCTTTTGGAAAATCCAGTCGTGCTTTAAAAAATCCTCCTAATCATAAAGAAAAACATAAATCTTGGATTAGATTTTATTTTTCTAGACCGAAAAGAAAAAATTACCTTCATAAAATGTATCCGATGGTCCAACAAGAATAACATTCCATGCATATGGATTTGATTCATCGATTAGACCAGCACTAATACCTTCAACAGGATGACGATTAAATTCACGTAATTGTTTAAGTAAAAGTAATGCTGAACCATCCATTAGAAAATAAAAATCTGAAAGAAAAAACTTTCTAATATCACAATTTTAAATTAACAAAAAAAGAAATTTAAAAAATAATATAAATGTATGTATTGCTTTTAAGTTAAGTCAATAATTATACGATTTGCAAAAATTCGTCCGACAAATTTTGCGAACATTGTAAAACGATCTAAGATATAAAAGAAATAGTTTTCATCTAATCGTTGTAACTGTATTGGTGTGATTATTTGTTGATGCACACGTAATTTAAGTTGTTCAATATTAGTTTCTTCATCTTGATCAACTGAAAAAACACACAAAAGTAGATAATATTATCACAAAAAATTTCAAGATAACCTTTCGTTGGATCTGTTTCAAACCGAGCATATTTATGAGCATTTAATAATGGTATACATTTTTCTATTGGATGCCAAGTATATGTTTCCGGACAGAGAAGAAATGATGGTTTATATTGACCCTAAAATTAAATGAATAGTATTATATCATAAAATTTTCTTTTCAATAATATTTGTGAAGTATTAAAATTACCATATGTTTATCAATAGTTTCATATAGAGCTGCTCTAGAATATAATCTGACAAAAAGCGAATATCACGTGTTGAAAACTATGTATTTACAGACAAATCACGTGCAAATATTTTAAAATAATCATGTATTGTAAGAATAGATTAGAAATTATTACCCGATTAATTTCTAACCAAAATTTATATGGTTTTAATCATTATATAGTTACATTGTTTCAAGTATCATGATCCTATCGAATGAAATTAAAAAACATGCTGTCGTTCTCTATTTTCTACAGATATTTTTGTACTATAATATCCCAGTTTATTAAAATTTTTGAGCGTAGATATATGTAAGAGATAATAATAATAGTTTATTTCTTACTTACTCTCACTTCTATTCTAATATCTACTGATAATCTAAGTACCGAGCATTGAATTTATCTTTTAAAGAATAAATATTTTGTTATCTTACTTTATAACGCATTTTTACACATGTATGTACATAAAAACCAAGATAATAATATTTTAGATCCGGTATTTCACGAGCTAATTTTCGTGTCAATTCAATTTCTCTATAAAAATCAAATTTCGATATGAAATTATAGTTTTTCCATATAAAATTTTTTCTACTTTAATGCTGAATAAACTCCAAGTTTAAGAAAACCTAATTCAGGTTCATAATAAAAATAAACCGATGAAATTCCATTTGGAAGAATATCCAAAACATTACAAGCAATGATCTTTCCATTTAAATAATATTGCAAATGAAAACATCCATAACCACATGAAGGAACATTTGATGTTGATATTCGAGGACAATCCTTTTGTAATGATGATTCACAAAGAAAACCTTTGAATTGTGATAATGAACATTTAGATTTTGAATCACCATGTATTGCCATTTGATAACGTTCATAAATAGAATGAGATTCTGTTAATGTATTTTTAAATTCATCTGATGGTGGATATGAACGAATAAGACGAAATTCTAATTTATTTTCTGGTTTATCATTGAATTGTAATAATTCTTCGAGTGAAGGAATTAAACTCGAATTCATTCGATTAAATCGTTTAATAAGCAAATGAATATCTACGAGATAGAAAATTCATTATAAAATATTTCATTTAATTAAAACAAACCAGTTTCTTTTGAAAGTTTATTTTGTGTTTTAAGTTTTAATAATTTTTTATACCAACGTTTTTGACGAGATCGTAAACGTTTAAGAAGATCATCAGGTGGAGCTTTTCAATTAAAATAAAGATAATATTTTTAAAGAAAACAAAAATCATTTTATCTATTCATACGTGTATCATTTGTTAACATATGACGAATTAATTGAATTGCATTTGTATTTGATTCCTTTGTAATCCAATCATTAAGAGTTACTTGTTTATTAAATGTTGAAGATTTCAATTGAACAGGAATTGATTTGTTTTGTTTCTTTTTGTTTATTTTTGAAGGATCGGAATTAGTAGTTGGAGGTAGTTTAATAGCAGATACTTTTTCCATTTTTTCATTGGGTTTTACATTTTCATTAATAAAATGATTCATTGTTTCAATAACACGTCGTTGAGAACGAGATAGTACAAAATTATTCGCATCGCATCTACGAAAAAATGATTCTTTTTTTTCAATCTCAAATATTTTTAAATAAACTAACCGAATTGTATAAAGTGGACAACAAGTTTTGTTCATTAATGCTTTATAATAATATGTTCCGCACCTACATATGAAACTAATAATTAATCTTTAAAAGAATAGATAAATCTTACTTTCTCCAACCACGATCCATTAATATCTGATAATCATCAACTAGTATAGCCGAAGCAACTATACCTAAATTATAAAAAATAAAAAAAAACTTTCTTTACTTTGAAAGAACCATCTTTTTACCAAAAGAAAATTTTCCACTCTCAAGATTACAATATCCACATTTTGATGAACGAATTCTACGTAAACTAATCGAACTAGAGACATACAAACCTGCTGTACAACTTCCATCTGTATTACAATAACCACAATTATGTGGAGTTGGATCAGTTTCAAATGCTATTTGAATACTAGTAGTAGAAGATGATACATTTGATGTATCATGTCGACGACTAAACATAATCTTTTATTATTTCTTATCTACAATCAAAACAAATCTCCAAATTTATATTTCTTATTTTTCTTATTTTGGAGTAACAAAAAAATTAAAACACAAAAAAAAACATTTATGTTTCAACACTAATTCCTTTAAATGGCATTTGTCGACAATCGACAACCGGTTCTTTACTATCTCCATTGGAGACATCAGTATGATTTGCTTTTAATTTTTTTTGTTTATTTTGTGATTGATTATTTGTTATTGATGACGATGATGGTGATTTTCGTTTCTTTGTTAACATATTCATAACTTCTTCATCAATTGTTAAGTTAAATCTATAAAAAATTACGAAATAAAATATTGAAAATTAATATTATAACGAAACCTTTTCTTAAATGATTGTATAAGATTCAGAAGTTGTTTACGTTGTTTATCACTATTGATTGGTTTGTTTTTAATTGCTAATGAAATAGCATCAAGTAAATTTGATGCTTGTTTTTCGGTTAATGTTGGATTCTAAAAATATTTATTGAGTGACGAAGTACAATTAAGAAACTCGAAACTTACACGAATCAATAATAATTTTTGAGTTAATACTGTTATAATATGTAATGATTCCATTTTCGATGATTTTGAATCATGACACATCTATATAGAAGATTATAAACAAATAAAATTCTATCGATAAAATCTATTCAATTCAATAGGATATAAGTTATATTAATATTACTATAATATTTACTGATTGTTCTCTTCACATATGTATTTTTTCAATAGTGATACTTCCTGTTCGCTACAGTTTCGTATCCATAAGTTCTGCGTTTTGCATTGACTATTATCATTTATACTGGTCCTCAAGGATGATGATGAATCGTAAGTGAACAGAAAATATTTTTTATTCAAGAAAAATCATAGGCTATATATATACGATAAGATAATACATAGAAAAATTAACGAAAAATCCCAACATATGTAAAGAGTATAATCAGTAAATATTTAATTTCACTCTTTTTTTAAGATCTATAAGTAAAACAGAAACATTTAATTCTTACCGTAACAAGAAGATCGATAATTGATTTTAATAATTTACCATCCACGTTATCTAACTAAATAAAATACGAAACATAAAAATATAGAAAAAGATAATTTTATTTTACTTGTTTCTTATTGAAAAAATTATTTAATGTACCACATACAATATTCTTAAAATAAAAAAAAATAAGAATGATATAAAATAATAAAATAGAATTCTTACTCGTTTTTTCCAATTGATATTTTCTTTCATAGCTGTTTGAACCATTAATAACATAAGACGAGTTCCGTATTCAGGAAAACGTAATAGAAATTCTTTGATAATACTTGGATGAACAACTGATTGATTAGCACTTAATTCATCGCTATCATCATCATCATTATCCTTATCAGTTTTTTTATTCTTTTTCTTTTTTGATTTTTCTTTTGGTCTGAAGAGAGAAAAAATATGAATAACATAGATTCGAATAAAGAAAATTTTTGTCATAAACGTACGCTTTTGGTTGGAGAAAACGAAGAAATCCGCCTTCATACATCGTCAAAATTGTTTCTTCAACACCGGCTAAACGATTCTCTTGTTTACCAACGTGTAAACATAATTTAATCTATTTAAAAACGAAATCAATAGAACTGATCATTTAACATATTGATAATTTTTACTTACCACAAACATCGATACTTTCGATAATGTATCTGTAGTCAATTTTGTTCGTGTTCCTAGAGACAATACAAAAGATAATTAATAAATTATTTAGAAAATATAAGAAAGAACAACGAACCAGCTAATGATGTTAAATAACGAAATAATTCTAAACATTCATCAGTTGTTGGCATGTCTGAATGACCAATCTAAATATTAAAAATACAACATAATACTTATAAATCATTTCCGAGATGAATATCTAATTTTAACTAACGGACAATTCGAATTCTCACTCAACTGTTAAATGGTATTCTCTCTGATAATATATATGAGGTCTTTCTATCTCAATCATAGATCAAAGTGAGGAAAATGGCAACTACAGTCATTCTCTTACGATCGCTGAAAATCATATGCAGTTAATTGTGACATCACTTAAGATGTTTACACAAATGGTGATAGTCTATTATGAAAAACAAAGAGAAATTCAATACCTTTCGATTTGATAAATGGCATAAAATTGAATCAAGTCTTTCAATCATTGTTTTATAAGCTGGTGTATTTGATAAACTTGTTAATGTTTCAATTAATGGACGAATACTTATCTAAATAAATATATAAAATAAATTTCTTTAATATAAAAAAAGGTATCGTAAAATTTACTAGAACAAAACGCATTCGATCATCTTTTTTAATAACTGATTCAATAAGATCAAGTACACGAAATTGATGATGAAGTTTTTCATTAATTATTTTTATATTTGATGATTTTTTAATTTGTGATCGAAATGCTTCAGCAATAAGTGGATCTAAACGAAGCATAGCTTCATCATCCATTTCAATATCGTCCTAAAAAAAAATCAATTGATATAAAGCTTTTTTTCTCAAATATTATTTTACTTCTTGATCTTCTTTTACTGCTGCATCACCAAGTGCTTTTTCTACAGCTTGTCGAAGATCTTCATTAACATCAGTATTATCCATTGATTCTTCTTCACTCTCGGACTCTTCATCCTCACTTTCTTTATCGTCATCATCTTCATCTTCATGTTCATCTTCCTCGTCTTCTTCATCACTTTCACCTTCATCATCACTTTCATTTTCCGTAGTAATTGTCTAAAATATCAATAAAATTAAAACATAAAAATTTCAAAAATATTTACTTGTAACATTAATTTCAATGCATTTTCATTAACATAAGGTACTATTTGATGATAAATTTTCTTAATAATTGATCGAATATCATGTTGTTTTTTTGTATACATTGATAATAATATATCAATTAATACTTCAATCCAAGATGATTGTTCTAGAAATAAAAATAATGAATTATATTAAAATAAAATATAAATTATTTACCTTTAACTTTCTTTTTCAAAACAAGTTGTGTATGCGCATTTTTCGTACAAGTCATTAAATCCTAAATAAAAATATTTATTATTGAAATGAATTTTTTTTGATTTTAACATACATCAAGATATTGTTTCGCACGATTAAAATCAACAAAAAGATCATAAAAACTTAAAACAAATACTTGTTGAAATGCTAATCGAAGTTTTTCATCTGGTAATGATTGAATCTAGACAAATAAATGAAATTTAAAAAACGAAAAATTTATTTTATTATTCTTTTCTACCGTTTTTCCTCGAATAAATTCAAATAATTTTTCACCATTTTCATTCAAATAAGTTTTTAATTCTTCAGCATTTTTAAATAATGCTGAATAATGTTTAGGTGATTCTAACAATTGCTACAAAAAGAATCAAAATTAATATTTAGAATAAAATAATATTAAAACGTTTTTTTTACAATTGATCTTTGAAAAACATTGAAACTGTGTTCATATTTATTTTCATGAAATTCATACAGAAGAAATTTATATATCATATCTTCAATATGCTCTCGTGTATTATCCGATAATTCAATAGGACCATGAAGAAACTAAATGAATATTATTTATATATTTTTTAATTTCTAATATAAAATATATTACTTCTTGTAACTGTTTTGGTGTATGTTTATTTAATTTAAAATTAGCTAGTAGAACATAGATGGATAGAATATTTTCGAATAATAAACCACAAGAACTGGTTTTTAAATCGAATGATGAACAATTACATATATTTGAAAGCTGAAAAAGAAAATTCGTATGAAATATGTGTTAATGATTAATAAGAAATTACTATTTCAAGAAGAAAATGTCGACGACGTCCAAGAGCACTAAGAGAAAAAATTTAAAATTTTTATTTATTTTTATTAATTATATTTTACCCTTCATCTTCTTTCGATACTGCACAAAATAAACCAATAATAAATTTAACATACTCTGATAATTCATCAACAGTTAACTAAAAATAATCACATTTATCTCAATTAATCCAATAAAAAATAAATACCTTTTCTGATACAGCATTAGCTACTGTATTAAGAGATGTATAATTTTTATTTGCACTAAATATATAACAGATAATTAGATGATATATTTTAAAAAATTTGTTACTAACCAATTTAATAATTTTTCAAATAAACGTAATCGCTCTTCTAATGGTCGATTAGCAATTGTATGTGCGAGTTTTTCAAGCTAAATATTATATATATATATGAAAGTTTTATAAATCTTAATTATGTAACATACAGCATTTTTAGATAATTCAATTGATGCTTGATGATGCATTTTTCGTCCTGATGATGATAATAAATCAAGTATTTGACCCATTAGAACTTGACTATTATCAAGAATTGCTTCAATCTAAATAATTCATCATTATAAAAACAGCAAAGATCGATTAAATCAAAAAATAAAAGTACCGTATTGATTGATTTTGAATTTTCTTGTTCTTGAAAGCAGAATGTTATTAAATCAAGTAAAATATGACCTTTATTTGAGTCAAGTCCAATATTTGATAACTCTAAAAATAACGAAAATCACATCAAATCTTCTGAATAAATATTTTATGTATCTTACCATCAACAAGTATTGGCCAAAATGATGATAATTGTTGAGTATGAATTGCATAGATAAGCAATTCTTTCGTTAATTGTTCTAATAAATGGAGTTCATTATCAAACGACTAAAATTTAAAGAAAATTTCTATTAAAAAATAATTCGAAAAATATTTTTTCTTACTTGTAAACATTTTTTTATTATTGTTTGTTCATCTGTTGTTCGTCCTAATGATAACATATTACTATTCCAATGTAATTTGAAATATTCTTGATCAATAATTTTCTTTTATAGAAAGAAAAAAACAAATGAAAATTTTTCTTTCAACAAAAATTGAATTCATACGGGATAAAGATTAACAAGTGAAATCAACAAAAAGATTGATTTTGTTCCATCATCACTCATTTGCCAATTTGTTGGTAGTAATTCTTGAATATGAGGTAAAATTTCTTTTTTAAACAATTTACGACCACTCTAGAATTATATTAAATAAAATATATATATATTAAAACAATATTAGTATTTAAATACCCATTTAGCTAATTGAATAATTGATGCATCAATAAATGTTCGTAATCGTCGTCGTGTTTCTTGTGTACGTATTAAAAGTAAATCCGGTAGAATTTTTGGTAATAAACTTGATAACTAAAATTCAAAAGAATATTTCAAATAATTATATTAGTAACAAAAACTAACATCTGTATCTTTTTGTGTATAAGCTAAAGCAATATAACTAAGTACACGACCAATACGAACATTTTTTGCATCCTTAAAAAGAAAATACAAAATAAAAAGAATATAGGACCTTTATGTTATATTACTTCAACACCAGTTTCTTTTTTTGTTGTTAATTTATCTTGTATTGACGAAATAAAATCATCTGTTGATGGTATTGTCGATTGATTATCTGTAAGTTTTGCAAGCTAAAATATGTAAATAAGAAGTAGTAGTTTTTTTTGTTTGAATTTATCTTTTAAAAAAACTACGAACTGTGCCAAGTGTAGCAGCATAACCAATACGTGCACATTTACGATTTGATACAAGACCTTTGATTAATCGTGAAATTGCATAATCAATTTGAGTTGATGAATCCTATAGATTAAAATTTGTATTTTATATTTAAATATTTATAAATATATATACCTTTTTATTATCATCATCATTTGATGTTGTAGTTTTTAGTGATTCTAATAATTTTTCAATACCTTGTTGACGAGTATGTATATCAAAATCGGATAATTCCCAATAAATATCCATTTTACAGTATCTAAAATAGATGTATTTGATTTTTAGTGTTAAAAAGTTCAATATATAAGTGTTTAAAATTGAAAAGAAGAGTAAGGTCACTGTGTTGTAATTATTGCTAGCTGAAAAATATAGCCGCAACCAATCAATGAAGTATTCATTAAGATCGACCAATAGGAAAAATGTTTTGATCAGCTGAGGGGACTCTATATATTAGACACAAACGCCATCTCGTCATATTAAATACTTTTCTTTTTACTGTCAGAATGTCTAGATCTTTTTTTTATAGAACTCTACCATCGGTTCTTTTTCTCTTATGAGCTATAATGATATACGAATGATTCGTCACTGTGTTTCATTATCTTACTTTAATATTTGTAGTAACATATTGGATAAAATTTTTTAGCTAAAACTATACAATGAAGTTTTCAAAAATCAATCTCAACTTTTAATTATTTATTTTAAATATATCTTAATGAATACACTTAGACATCCGAAAAAAATAATAAATATCATTGACTAGAAAGTTATATATTATTATTAGTACATTTTTGATGAACAATATTATCTGATATAAAAGATAACCATTTCATTAAATACATATGGTTGAAAGATGGTAGATTCCATGAAGAAATAGAAGTACAATACTGTTCAGCAGATATTCTATTTGTTTCTTCGAACAAATTTTCATGTAAGAATTCTCCTATAGACCCGATTAGAGTATCACGATCATTCAATGTCATTAATTTATTATGCCATTTCTCAAGAGAAACACTCTCCAATGGAATAGCACAGCGACACATACAATTAATAATATCTGCAAATAATATACTGTTATTCGGATTTAAAACATGATAGATTTTTCCATAAACATCAGGTTGCATAGTACTCAAATAAACGATACTTCTGACAGTAAAATCGACTGGTAATCCTTGTAAATAAGCATTAGTTATTGTCTTAGGATAGCAATTTGTTTTCATTATTGTAGAAATTAGCAATGTATGGAGATCATTTTGATTACAGGCGCCTGTTTCTCTACTAGCACATATTGAACCAAGACGATAAATGGTTACCGGTAAACCTAAACGACTCGCTCTGGTCATTAGCTTTTCTGCTACCCATTTACTTTGAGCATAACCATTGTCTAAATTAGTTGGAGAGATTTCATCGATCGATACTTCTTTATAAACACCGCCAGATAGAACACTAATCGTTGAAATATAATGTATTGGTATGCAGATTGATTTATATGTTGCTAATTGAATAATCTCTCGAGTTCCGCCAACATTTGAATCATAAAGTTTGCCATATGGTAGGATAAAATTTACCTCAGCACCACAATGAAAAATGATATCGATTTGATTCGCAAGTGACTCATATGTTTTATCATCTAATCCAAAACATTTTGTTGCTAAATCACCTTGTAACGGAAGAATTCGTTCTTGAAAATCTTCTTTCCATATCTTATAGAAAAGCATAGTCTGTCGTATACGATCTAAAGCATTTGTTGAAGATGTACATCGTACAAGACACACAAATTTACATTCTATTCGATAAGTCGATAATAACTCGGCTAATAGAAAAGCACCTACAAATCCTGTAGTTCCAGTAACAAAAACCATTGAACGAGAGACGGCTGTGTTTTTATATTCACCTACTTTTATATCCAAATTAACCTGAGAATCATTTAGTAGTTGTGGTACAATAGAATGAGACATGGAAGATATTTTTGATGGATCTTCAATCATATCTGCTAGTTGTTCAAGTGTCATATTCGATTTTAGAAGTATATTTATTGGAATAGATATTCCCAAATCATTCTCAATCTTACGAGATAAACGTACAGTTGTCAATGAATCACCACCTGTAGGAATAAAACTATTGTTTTCGTCATCCATAGATAATGATTGCTCTGTTGTCGTTTCAATAATAAATTTTAGTCGTTGTTTAATACTCATCGATTGTTTAAGTCGATCACCATAATATGCAGCTAGTTTATAACGACATGGTTTCATTGTACATGTAAGTAAACCATTTTCAGCTGTAAATGGTTCAAAATCAATAACTAATCGTGATGGTATTTCATGTTGTCGAAGTGATTCTTTTTTAGCTATTAGACGAAGATTTTGTAGAACCGCTTCATAAAATTTTTGATCTGGATTATTCATATCAAAATTTTCTAAATTATGTTTGAGTACAAATGCTTGTGTAAATTCTCGATTAGGTACTACAACACACCCGACAGAATCTGCTACGAGATCTCCATGAATATAGATTTGTTCTACAAAAGGACTTTGAATATAGATATTTTGAAGAAATTCTGGTGAAACGTATTGTCCTTGTGAAAGTTTAAAGAAATTCTTTTTACGATCAATAATATCTACATAGATTTGTCTTTTTGAACCAGAACGTAATTCAACAATATCACCAGTATGAAAGAATCCATCTTCTGTGAAAGCTGCTTGTGTTTCTTCTGGATTATTAAGATATCCAGAAAACATATGTTCAGTTTTTATCAAAAGCTCTCCTCGAGAATATGGTTCATCATCAATTGTATAACCCATTTCTGGAACACTTATGAGACGAAATTGTAACGTATCATCAAGAACATTATTACTTGTTATGCCGCCACATTCGGTTATTCCATAAGATTCACGGATCTTACACCGTGCAAAACATCCTTTCACAAAGTCAAGTACGATTGGACTAATTTTGGCGCCACCGATAGTGATAAACTTGCATCTCATTGGAATAAGTTTAGAAAAATGTTGAAGGAGTCGATATTCTTCTGCTTCTATTGCTTCTGGTGGAAGATGAACTGTTGTTAATGACAAAGCTGCCTTAAATTCAGCATATATTTTATTCCATATGGCAGGTGTTCCAAGAAAACTGTTGGGTCGTACTAATGCTAATTCTTCCATCAAAAGAGACACATCTCCAGTTGAGAATCCAGTACGTCCTCCAAGAAGAAATGTTCTAATAAGAGAATCACGATCACTCGCCCATGCTAAAGGTTCGTAAGAAAAATTAATGAAGTCGTAAGGATATGGAACACACCATTCTGAGAATTCTGCTCGAAAAGTTCTTTCAGATATCATAGCGCCTTTAGGTATTCCTGAGCTACCACTTGTATATATAATTGTAAAACATTCATTAGGTGCTATATTAACAAAATCGTAACGTTGATTAGAGCCACATGTTTCAATATCATTCATATAATGTATACATAATTCATTCTTTTCCATACCTACAACAATTATTAATAAAATTCTAAATCAATTAAAAAAGCAACACTTACCTAATATGGTCTCTGGAATAGGATCCATACATATGATATGGCGAAGTGATGGACATTCAGCATATAGTCTAATTAATCTTAGTAGCACTGTTTTATCACAAACAAGTGCTGATAATTTTGTATTATTGATAACATGGGTAAGTTCACGATCATTGAATAAAGTATAAATTGGTACACTAATAATACTTTGAAAGATACACGCAAAATCAGTTATTACCCATTCAGGACGATTTTTTGCACAAATACCAAGATAATCACGTGATTGAATTATATTTCGTAATCCATTTCCAAAATTTTTAGATCGAGTACCTATTGTTTCATATGTAAACCAAGAATATGTGTCTGCATATAGAGAAGGATTCGTTTCGTCAACATCTCGTACACCCAAGCAATAACGATCACGATACATATCTGTAGCAATTTCAATATTACTTGCCATCGTTGCACTTGTGTATGCTATTATTATGTCTTCATGGCGGTACGCTAATTCACGTATTAATTTGTGAGGATGTGGTGGATTTAATGTTCCTACACATGTTTCACAGAGATCATAATCGTCACAAACAGTACAAGTGAAACGAAACTCTCCATGATTTAAAGTACGACTACACTCACTACAGTCCCAACTACTTAACTCTGTAGTAACTGTCATATTTATATTAGTTTTCTACCAATCGAAAGATAAATAAAATGGTGTATTTTTCCAAGTATATTTTTCTAGAAAGAATCAGAATAAAACTAAAAGATGTTTATTATGAAAGAAATTATAGCATATTTTTGTCTCATTCTTTTTATGTGTATAATAATGAGATAATTGTCATAGAAATGATAGCCTCCAAAAGTTTGTGTCAAATAAGATTGAATTTTAATTTATTCAAATATGATAGAAAAAAGAATGTATTATACTCACTGCGACTTTCATCCACTTTTATTACAAATTTATATAAAGGTATTGCGAAAAGAATGAGTAAGAACATGATTCATCTTTTATCACTATGTCCACGTCATGTCTGGATGTATGATCAAGGAGAGTAATGCAAGATCAAATAATAGTTTATTTCAACTAAGCAATATAGGAGAGAACAACAAGAGAAAGGTAATAAAGATGAATAGATGGATATATATAATATATATAAACAAAAATGGAAAGAACCAAATATAGAAGGAAAAAAACATGTGTACTTGGCAAAATCCAGTAACATTGTCACTACAGCATAATTTTCTTAACAATAGAATCCACAATGACAATATTTACTGATAAGGATTCTATGAAAAATACAAAACAACAAGTTATTCATTTCAAGATTACTATTAATAAGATATTTTTGTATTTCAGTGAATTTGAAGTTAATATAATTTTATTATTTCAACTATAATGATATTTATTTATTCTAACAGTTACATGAAATAATATATTATTACTATTTATCTGATTGGATTTATTATAAATAAGATATGTCAAATTATATACAATACAAAAAAAAATTCAGGAATAATCTGAGAAGAGAAACAATTGCAAATTATTTTATTATTTTTTATAACATCGTATTTGGTGAATAAATAAATTAGCTTTAGGTAATAGAATTTGACAAGTTGGACATTTAGCATAATTTGGTTTTATTTCATCATTAGGAGATGTAGTTATTGTACATTGTTTTTCTGAATTTATTTCGATGATTTTCTTCGAGTCAGATTGTTTAGTATCGGTTAAGGACGATGTAGAATTAGTTTTTTTAAAGAAATTATGAATAGTACCCTGATTTGATGGCACATTGGTATTTGGTTTTTTCTTTTTCTTTGATGGTGATGAAACTGTAATAAGAAAAATAATTAATATTATTTTATAGTTATTGCATTTTGAATTTAGTATTTACTTTGACTTGTTGATGCTTGTTGTTCATTTTTATTTGATGTAATTTCATTAGCATTTCGTTTTTTATTTCCTTTTGTTTTATAATCTTCAGGTTCTTTAATTTTTTCAAATTGACCACTACAACGTTTTTCATGTTCACCTTAAACAAAAATAAAAAAATAGTATTATTAAAAATAAAAAATAATATATCACATACTCCACCATCGATCTCTATTTGATGGTGCTCGATTCATTGATCGTTTAACATAACCATAAAAAGGTTTCCATTGACGGCATGCTCCTGTACATCGCCACCAATGACCATGAAGATGATCATATTCATCATGAAATGAATGATATACCTAATCATGATAGATAATAAACTTATCATACATATAATTAAATTTTCTATTACTGTAATATTAGTTCCTGTTGTATCATTAATTCGTACCATATGTTTAAGAAATTCTGGTCCATGACCATCTCGATCCTATCAATAAAATTCTCTATTTATATAAGAAAAATAAGTTTTAAAAAAACAATAAATTACTTTATTATTATGAGTAACAAATAAATAAGCATGGATCATTTCATGCTATAAAAAAGATAATCAATGATAGATTTATATTTTTAGAAAGAAAAGAAACATATTTACTAATAATGTTTCAACAAGATCTTTTCGAGGTCGTAATGTTAGATAACTTGCACTAAGTGCAATTCGACATTCACCACCTCGTCTATAATAACATATACCTGCACAACTACATAAAAAATTATTTTAAATATTTAGAATAAAATTATTTCATTTTTTTACCGTGTCATCCGTTTACTCCATTCAACATAAACACTCTCTAATTTTCCATAGAAAAATTGATGATTAAATTGTTGAAATAATGTATGAATATTTGGATGTGGATCGATTAATTCCCACTGCTTATCAACAACATTCATTGGATGAATCTAGAAAAATGATACTTTTCAAATATATATATTTCAAAAACAGTATTGATCAAACCTGAGTTATTTTATCTAATTGTCCTTCATTTTCTTTTTCTTTTTCTTCTTTATCAAAATGATTTTGTAATTGAAGTGCAACAAGAAAATCTTTTTCATTGCTTAGTTCATCAAAATCTTCTTCCATAGATGCTAATGAATCAAAATAAGCCATTATTTCTTTTTCTTAAATACATTAGAACATTCCAAATAATAAATAAATATCTATCGATGTTATGTAAAATACATAAAATGAGTCATCACTATGTTCTCAACATGTGCTGCCGTATATATGGCGACAGAAGGCGTGCGAAGCAAGTCAAGCAATAGACGCATACAAATTTTAATGATATTAATTTTCATTTATTTTATTTTATTAAATTAGTAGATAATGTATATTCTCTAGAAAATTCAATAAAAATCGATTCGTAAATAAGATTGATTAGAAACCTGTTTAGTTAGAAAAAGATGTATAACTGGTTGTGTAAAAGAAAGTTTATCTGTAAGAATCGATATTTCTGGAGTATAATATTATTGATCAGATACAATTTTCTAATTATGTTTTTGAAAAGTTGTTTTACATTGAATTTTGTAAAGAACTGCGCAGATCATATAGTTTTTACAAAGAAATCAAGCTATAAAGCGTCAAGAGCTAAGAGAGATGTTCATAAAATACGGAGAAAATCATTCTTTATAGAAAAGAACTAACAAATGGTTTTCTACAACATTCTTCGTAATGTAATACTCTTGTGTAATCGATACAAATTGAATGCAATTCTGTTTGACGATGTGAGTATAGCTCTCGGTGCAAGTGTGAGGGTGGACAATGGTCACATTAACACAAATACCCATAACTCAATCCACAAACCAACACCCTTTAGATGTATACTTTAATGAGTATTATAAATAGATATACGTATACATATCAAATTACAAATTAATAATGAGAAAACAATGTCTTATTCGAGTTTAGGAATGAGTAAGTCATAGGCAATAAAACGTCGTCCATCTCGATGTTTTCGAGCACTTTCTAACCAAAGTCGAATTTGTAAACCATCAGTTCCGATTTGTTGTTCATCCGTATGGATTACTTCATGGCATCGTCCATGATGAGAATGAATATGAATCGGAGGTTCTTCACTACCTAAACCTTCTCGATTGGAACTGGGTCCTAAACTAGTTGGCATAAGAGCATTTTTTTTGGTTGAATGAATATGTAAGTGTCGTTTTCGAACAACAGTCATAGCTGATGTATTTACGTGAGAAATCTGTTCAAAATAGCACCAGTTTCTATTTGGACGAAGTCTTTTATGAATTACTGCTCTTCCATTTTCAGGTCTTCGCTTGAAAAATTCGATTAATTCTTCTTCAGTGTTATCAATTGGATTCCAATGACTAGTAAATAGATGATAAGCACGAATAGCCATTCGAGATGGAGGCATATTAACAATAGCAGATGAGATAATTTGATACATTAATTTAGGATCATTGATAGGTGCTGGTCGATGAGATCCTGCAGATTGAAATCGTCCGACACCACAACAATGAACATCACCACCGAGATAAGTGATTCGAACTTTCTTCTCTTCAGCTAGCTGTTGAAAACGACGGAGAGCATTGTTTCGCTCATCGATATGAGTATGATGAATCCATTCATCGAGAAGATCATCATAGAATTCAGGTAGATTGAAGATAGAATTACCTTTCTTAATAAGTGAAGCATTTCGCCATTTATTTGGAAGATTTTTGACACGTTCAGTAATCGATTCAGCAGCATGAAAACGAATGAATGAAAATGGAACAGGAAATACAACTAGTAAATGTTTAACATCATCAAGTTCACTTTGAAGTTTATCAAAGATCATGTCCCAAGTATTTTGATGATGAACAATTGTTGCATCTCGTTCAGTTCGTCCATCAGCACCAATAATTGCTAAACTTCTACCACAACGAACATAAAAATTATATCCTTGATGTCCAAATAATTGATGTTCTCTCGCTTTTTCAAACGTCGTATGATGTTGAAATAAAAGTCGCATTTTTTGTGCTGCTAAAAATAATCCCATCATCATTGGACTATCATGAAGTAAAGGAGGATAAGATCCAGCACCATCGAAAATATCATGATCATCCCACATCATTAAGCTTGGAATTGATGAAAGAGCTCTTTTCACTTCAGGACGACGTTCCCAATTCTCTGCATAAGTATAAAAATGATATTGTTCAACTTGTTCTCGAACATCATCTCGATAATCAGTTGTCCATTTTTCATTCCATTCCATATTGAGCCAAGCACGAAGAAATGGAATATCTTCAAAAATGAAATCAATATAATTTTGATCACCACCCCATATCAATAAATGTAATGGATTTTCTTCATGGATAGAAAGAAGATGATTCCAAACATTTGCGTAAGTTAAATTTTCTGCAACTCGTTCTGGAACGTAAGCATCAAAACCATTACATGAAAAAAAACCTCCACGCCATTTTTGATCACAACGAGCAATAAGAAATGAACCATCTGTTATTTCATTACCCCAATCGATCTTCCAAATAATTTTATCTTCACCTTCTCCTGGACGTAATTCAATGTAAATATTAACACGATAAGCACATAAATCGAAAATATTTTCATATAAAATTTCCCAATTATAATCAACATTTACATCACAAATAAATTCAATGTTTGGTTGATTGAATGAAACATGTCGAAAGATCAATGCACTACCCATCCATAACATTTTATTTAAATCTGTCGAAATCAATTGAAAATAAGGACCTAATGCAGGTCCAGGAGGTTTGGGTGGACGATTAATTGCAGGTGATTCAGTTGCTGCTTCAGTGGATGGAGCCATCTCAGGTACTTTTGAAGTTGTTAGTTTTGGTGATGGATAATCACCCATAAATTGAGGATCAATATTTACTGGATTCGATGCATTAACATTCAAATCACCATGTTTATCTTTTATTGGATCTCCCATATTGTCGGATTTTTCATCTGTCATTTCTCAAGTTTTAATCTTGAACAAAAAAGAGAAACGAATATCTTCTTGCTCGAAAGTTAATTTTGTTAAGAAAAAGCAGCGATTGAGTGTGACAAAAGACGCATTATATTAATGTACATGTGCGTTATTTGTTGATATCTTTTTTTTCATTATCTTTCACACGCTTCTTTTTTTTGTGATGTGTAGAACGATAAAAAAACGAATGTTCTCTATCGTTATTCAAGATGAGTAAAAGAGTATAATTCAAGCGGACAGTATTCTCTTGTTGTTTCGTTAATCTCGTGAATACCGAAAATTCTTGCGTTCTATACGACTACATCGAAAAATGAAAAAAACCCCCACTCTCTTGCGTTCTAAATTATCGGAGTATATATGTCACATGTTATCATTCATACAGCTGAATTGAATCTCAATCTTGTGGCGTCTAAGAAAAGAGAGACATTACACGAGCAAACGATTCTCAATCTATTCGTTCTTGTTTCAACATCTGTTCTAAGACACGACAGAACGAAAGAAATTTTTTTCGTAATGTCGACCTTCAGCCTAACGATAGTAGTAGTCTAGAGGTTAACACATCGTTGTATGACGATCGGAGATGACGTCTCTTTTGACTTACCAAAGGTGTAGGTATGGATGTGGTTGTAAACCGGAGAACATTAGAAACGTATACCCACACCCTCATCTTTGTTTGATATGAATATAAAACAATTTTATACAACAATCCACATTTTTGTTTATTCAATGCACTTATCTCATCATATTTTTATAATAAATGGTTGAGATTAATTTACTGAATATACATATACATTCATTTCTTATGTACAATTTATAACATAGAAACAGTATGAGTTAATTTGATATTTTTATTTTTCATATTTCGCAACACCATCTCATTCTTATGTAAGAAATATTTCATAAGAACAAAACAGAATAAAAAAAGAGTTATATACACGAGTTGATAACAATAATAACATGAATTGTCGGTCTTTCGCCTAAACACCAATCTACAATGGCTATTAACTTATCTCACAGCTTAGTTGCTGATTCAATTGTTGTTGGTGACGATGAATCTTTGCACACCGTTATTCCTCTATCTACACCAATGATAAAGTCCTCAACTCAGAAGCAATTGTTTATTGGCAATGGTGCTTCTCTTTTATCAATCGAAAACCAACATATATTAAATGAGTTTTTTGGCAACAAAGATCAGCAATGGAAAATACTCTACAAGGCATCAAGAGATGGTTTCTCCTCGTCTGACTTTCACCATCATTGTGATCAAAAAGATGCTACTATGACTGTCATTCAATCAATAGGTGATACTCATCTTTTCGGTGGTTATACAAGTATACCATGGACTACATGTACGGGTTACAAATATGATCCAACAGCTTTTCTTTTTACGCTGAAATCGTCATCACCAATGTATTATACAATCGAACCACAACATATTGATCAAGCTGTTCTTCATAGAAATGATTGTGGTCCATGTTTTGGTAGAGGAGATCTCTATATCAGTTCGAATTGTAATCAAAATCGAAATTCTTCTATAAACTTTGGGAATACTTATAATACAATAGCAGAATCCTCAGGAAAGAAACATTTTACTGTAAGAGAAATTGAAGTTTATAATATTTTAATTGATTAAAAAGATTACTTAATAAAGGCAGTTGATGAGAGAATGTACGAATAAATAAGTAGTAAAGACCAGCTTTTACCATCCACATTCATACCCATAATCTCAAGTTTATTGATCGCTGATAATCGTGGATATTTAACATATAATTGGAATAGAGTCATCTGACGGTAAATAACGTAACTTTAACAAATATGAAGGATAAGAAAGAGTTTTCTCACTTGCTACAAAAGAAATATTTCAAACAGAAAATTCTTTATAGGGCAAACTGTTAAATAATAGAAAATCTAACATATAATCAATTGAGGTGATGTCATTATCTGTAGTTCTAACGTTTGCCGAAAACATTTTGTTTTATTTCGAAAAAGTACCAAACTTTATATTCTTTCAGCTGTATTCTAGAAAGAATATTTATTAAGATTTACACGATTCACTTACACATAATCTGATACTAAATCTTTTGAGTAACTTCACTATTTCATGACTCAATGTATATTAACAAAGATCAGTTTTTATGAAAAAAACATTGAAATATATGAGTTACAACAGTCGATATGTCAAATTAAGTGTGATAAATATTTGAAGTTATCATTAATCTTAAGTGCGGATATTATATCCATCTCTCAACCACACCAACACTCGTAAATTACTAGGAAGAAACTTGAAAGACATACGATACATGCTTGATTATCACAGATATATTATAGTTCATATTTTTCCGTTTATTTCGTTCTTTATTATTCAAATACTGATGTAAAGTTCAGATTTGATCATTACTCATTTCCAATGTACTAGAAGAAACTGCAAAATAAGTAAACCTTTCCGCGAAAAGGAATTCTGTTTGCTTGAATGCGTCACCAATGAAAACATGCGACAACCTCTGGCGCAACCAGATAAAAAGAAAAGAATAGTAGAAAGAACACTCTGTTAAATAACAGAACGAAAAGAAGTTGCAAAGCAGTTTCTTTTTTCTTTAACGCCGAACACTTATCATAAGGCACACGCAGCGAGAAAAACATCACGTCGACAAACGATCAAATGGCTGCAACAACTTTGACGCCGTATGAAATACTCCAAGTAAAACCACTGGATAGTGATTTTCAATTACGTGTAGCATATCGTTTACGAATTCATGAATTGAAAAAAGATCGACTTAATTTTCCTACAAATCGTAAGATTTCACCTGCAAAGTTTCGACTTATATGTCGTGCATATGAAACATTATCTGATCATGATAAACGTAAAATTTATGATAGCAGTAAAGAATGGACATCTACTATACCTTTGACGAAATATACACTTCAACAACTTGCTGGCGAACCTGATCTCGCACCACAGTTGAGAAATCGATTAGAAAAAGCCACTTTAAGACAAACTGATGCAAAAGATCCGAAAACTGATCAAACACCACTTTATTGTGCAGCACGTGCTTGTAATGTTGATGCTGTCTATCATTTAACTGAACAAGGAGCTGAACCAGATCTTGCACAAAGAACAGGAAGTACAGCTTTACATGTCAGCGCTTTCTATGGACATCCAGAAATTGTTCGTTGTTTAATGGAAAGTGGTGCTGATTATCGTAAACAAAACTCTTATAATAATACACCCGAAAAAGAATCATTTGATGATAATGTTAGAAATACTTTTACTGATATGAAAAAACAACCTTTTGTTCAAGCAGCTGCTGATCAGCTCGATTGGTTTAAAGAAAATATTGATATAATTCCAAATCATATTGATGAGCAATATTATAGACAATGTCAAACATTACTTCATTGTGCAAGTAGAAAAGGTTTTACTGATCTTGCTCGATGGTTAGTCGAACAACGTTCAGCTAATCTTGATATTGTTGACAACAATTTAAATTCAGCTTTACATCTTGCTGCATACGGTGGACATACAACAATTGTTGAATTTCTTCTAAATCAAGGTGCTAATTCTCTTTTAATTAATAAATGGGGTATGACAGCCGAACAAGAAGGTATTATACATGGAACACATATTGTTACATTATTTCAAGCAATGCGTAATCGAAACATGTTTGATATGGCAGCACAAGGTGTTGAATGGTGGTTTAAATATCATTTTGCTGGAAATTCACCAGATGCAACAACTAATGAAGGTACAAGTTTACTTTATATTGCTTCTCGTCATGGACAAACATCAGTTGTAAAATGGTTATTAGAAAATGGGGCCAATGCAAATATACAACTTACAAGTGTATCACGAAGCACATCTTTACATGCTGCTGCCTATAATGATCATATATCAACAGTTGAATTATTAATAAATCATGGCGCTGATGTCAACATAAAAAATCATTATGGTGAGACTGTCTTTGATAATGCTCGATCGGATAAGATGAAGAATTTTTTGCAACAGTATCGAAAGAATCTATTGGAGAATAAAATCCTGATCGTACATTTGTTTGGTGATGGACGTAAAACTGGAAATGAACCATTAGCAAAACTTCAATTAAGTTGGAATGCTACACGTGATGATCTTTGGAATGCAATGCCTGAATCATTACGCAAAGAATATCATAGTTTTTCCATTGCTCGTCGACCATTACAGTTGCAAGAAAAGGATACAACTATAATATCTGCTTTTTGTCGAGCACGATATGGAAAATCAAAATTTGTTGAATTACCACTTTGTATTACAGCTCATGAATCACCGAGATATGTGAATAGTGGACATATTCTTGGTGAGGAAGTTATTGATTATAATTCACGTGAGTTTCAAGCAAAGTTTATGTCCAAATGTCAAAATTCATCCATTAAGATTGCATCTCAATTAAATAAAATACAAAAATTTACTTGTGGCAATTTATCCGTTACATTTCCAGTCAATTGTGCGAGCAAACAACTTTCAATTGATGTTGAATATATTGACTCACCTGATTTGCAAACATTTAAATTACCAGAATGTCTTTGTCTTTTTCGAACAAAATTTCAAGGAAAAAATAATGCACTAGAAGAAATGCCAAATGTTGTATTCAATGGTGACTCGAATGTACGTCTATATAGTTGGATACAATCACAAGCATATTGGTTTGCTCATAAAATCAGACATGGACGTTTACCCTTTATTGATGGTGTACATGCTTTTATTCGTCATGTTGATATTATTCCAGCTGCATTAAATCTTCCACCAGATATGTTTATTCAAGCTGCTGTCGGAAAACCATTCAATACTCGTGATCATCCTGTTTATTGTCGATATTTGAAAATTCGTGAACATAAAACCGATGTTTATCCTCATATTGCTTATCATGGAACATCTATTAAAGTTATACCTTCAATTCTTATGGATGGACTTGTTATGCCAAGTACTGTAGTCTCAAATGGTATACGTGTTTGTCCACCAGATAATCATATTGCACGAGGAGTTAACGTTTTTGATACTGAAGATTTTTCTAATGGAATATTTGTAAGTCCCAGCATACATTATTGTTCAGATCCAGTATATGCAGTAACATTTTCGGATGGTGATGAACGTCTTGTTGCTGTATTAGAATGTGCTGTGAAACGAGATGCATTTAAAGCTTTTCCAAGCACTGTACCGGGATATAAAGGTCATGAAGGTGATGATCTTACAGCTATCGAATGGCGTCTAACCAATCCTGCAGCTATCGAAATTATATCTATACTTTTCATTCCTCAAATTAAATCAAGAATCGCTGCAGCACGATTACGTGCTGGTAAACTTGGTGTTAATCCTAACGATGTTACATAAATTTTTTCAAAAGATTGATTTCATAGCTTGAAGATAATAATCGAATCATAGAAGCAAAAGAGATGAAATTACAGTTTAATAATTAAGATAGATTTCAACATGAAGTAAAAGAATGAATATAAAATATTACATCAAAATGCTTGATGATGAGAAAAAAAGGTGGTTTTTTGCATCTATCAATGTTTATGTTGAGATAATGCCATATATGTAGCATTGAGTTCGATTATTCTTGAAACAATACAGCGTAGTGAGAGTGAAATGTATTTCTTTATTTTATCTATCTCATCTTAAGATATGAACTGATTTAAAGTTCGAATTGATATAAGATAAATTTAAATTATTGATACACAATTTTATTATTTTGTCAACAAAGATGAAGACAATATAAAACACTGAAAAGTATAGTTCATGTAAATATTATTATTCTGAAAGATTAAATTTCTTGCTTTTCTTTTTCGTCGTAACTTTTCTTAATCGTCGTCGAGCATTATCCGATAAACTACAATTTTGTAATGAAAGTAATTTCAATGTTTGGTTTTGTTCAAGTATTTGAATGAGAGTTTCTAATGATTCATCAGTAATCAATTTATTGAATGAAATATAGAGTTTCTCAAGACAGGCAATTGAGTCCGTTTTGTGATGACAAAGAATATTGGATAGTATTCGAACACCTTGATTTGTTATACCCGTACAGTGTAAAGCGAGAATAGTTATCGATCGATTTGTTTGTAATAAACGAGATAAATGCTCAATTCCTGCGTCGCCAATATCTGGATTGCCGGAGAGATAAAGACTTTTCAAGTTATTTGGTATCGAAATTAATTGATCGACAAGTATTTTGACACCTTTAGATGTTAAAGTATTATCACGTAAAATTAGTTGCACACATTTTTTCTTCGCATTTTTAAAAGCTCGTTGGATAATCAATGGTACATCATTGTCTGTAACATTCAATGATGATACGTTAAGAATGCCATCAACATTTAATTCATCATATTTATTAAGTTTCTCTTCTAAAATCATATTTCTTTGTTTTATTTCCTTTGAAGCATCTAACTCTTCTTTGTCTGGTACTTCATCAATTGTTTTTAAACCATTTTCTGCTTGTTTATCTTCGAAAGTGTCGGGTATTTCAACTTTTGTCGGATGTTGAACAGTAGTTTCCTCATTAAGCTTAAGAAAGAATATAGAATAACGATAATTACAGGTCAAAAATTTTCTCAAGCTTTAATTTCAGAGAATATTTAATGACTATTTATTGTTATTACCTTCATGTGCATAAGATTTAATGTAGCATTATAACTTTTGTCATCATTATCGTTCGGTTGTGAATCACATGTTTTAATAGACGGCCCCGCTTCAGATATTTCTTTTTTGGTTTGTGCCATCGATGATTTTCGTTTACTTGTTCTAATTAAAGAAAATTATTTTAAAAAAACGTTATCAATATATCAAAAAGAGGAATTAGCTATCGAATTTTAATTCTACTTGAAAAACATTAGAAAAATATTATATATCACCTATTCTTGGATGTTTTATTGTTTCGTAACGGGGAGAGTGATGTTTTTCTTTTTTCTTTTGTTTTATGACGTTTATGAAGGGAATTAGTCTTTTGAACATCTTCGATATTGTTGATTGGTTCTTCGACAGGATGGTTCGCAACTTGAACACCATTGAGAGAGTCCATATCTCAAATTTATTCTTACTATTCTCGTCTAAATACTCTAATAAATGACGCCTCTCTCTTGAGTTATTAGAAAAGAATTAGTAATACTTATTTTATCCGTTGCATGAGTTTTAAGTCGTGCATTGCTCACAATTTATATATATTATTTTCTTAGAAATGCCTAGAAAAAATAAGAAGAGAATCAACTAAAATTCGGTCAAGGATAACAGGATAATGAAAAACTCAAGTTTTGCTGATTAAAAAGGAGAAAAACGAATTTATTTTAGAGTTGAAGAAGAAGAAAGTTAGTTAGAATTTATATTTGATCGTTTCAGACAATAAAAAGAGTATCATATTATCTTTATTTTTTTCAGTAATTAGGTTACTTCTCTATATAAAAGCTTTACAAATTTCAAGAAATAATCATTATTCTCTTGGACTAATTAAGGAAAATGAAACACAATAACGCTTTCACAAGAAATATAAAAACATCGATAATACTAATGATTAAATACCAGTAGGCAGTGCATTTTATGTATATAAAACAAAAAACGATATGAATATTTTCCGAGAACAAATTACTTTCGAAGATTATAATAAAACCTACAAAATATTTTTCATAAAAAATATCACGTGGTAGTTGAACTGTAATTAAGTTATAGGATCATATTTTCTCCTCTACACTGAAGTTATACTCCTTCAAACATCTAATTAATCTGCCGTTTATTATGTAACAACATTACATACACGATCATTGATTATCTCGAGACTGATGTAAGAAATTTTATATCATTTCTTGCTGCGTTTAAAAAAATGTTAAGATGTGCGTTTTGCTATGACTTGGAGGTAATTTTGATGTATATATTGATACAAAAAATGATCGTCATAACGAAATAATTGACAAAATGTATTTCTTAAGAAATCAATTATCAGTTCAATTACTTTAGTTAACATAATAGAGAAGACGGATATATGTGATGGTATCTTCATCACTCCTTCACTACACCCACACCCTAATGAAAATAGTATTCAAATAACACTTGACAATAATGATGACCAATTTTCAAAAACCAATAGTAATATTGAAAACGAAAATCAACAATCATCTATAAAAATAGCAAATATCGATCAAAATTCGACGATGTGTTCGAAATCCCAACCAATCAATAGTTGTAAACATTTTAGAACAAATTACCCGATTTAATGATAACCTCTTTCAACGCATCTTCAGTTTTTTTATAGGAATTAAATATTCAAATCTACAATAAAAAGAATTTTACTAAAATATTTGTCCATATTACATTAGCAGTTGAAAGGTGGAACGAAAAAGTACAAATTCAATCGGAACAGGTGGTTTTTTTAATGAAACGAGCAGCTTATCTTGAACTAGATAAAGAATTAAATGTAAGTAGTATTAAAGCTTTTGGACTCGCTCGTCTTAGTTGATTTCAATTGGCTGAGGAGATATTAAAGTTTTTTAAAATTATTATACCCAAGTCAAAAGCAACGGCAATGTAAACGACCGTAAACGATATGAAAACGGTATACAACGACGAAAACCGGCGTTTTCGCATCGTCGTAATCCAGCGTCGCAGAAAATGGTAAGAATGAATGCAGTAATACACCGTTTTAGGTCGTTTAACACGCCATTTTCGATGGTCGGAATGATCTTCCTGGGTATAGCTGAATGGTCGAAAAGAGACCAGGCGGTGATGTATTTACTAATTTTAAACAAACAAAAACAGTATCCACACCGGTAAACAACGACTAAATTCAAAATCAGTCCTCATGTTCTTAATTCAATTTAAATCTAAAATTATTGAACCTTCGAAAAATTGCATCAGATCTTCAATAAAGAATAAATTTATTGTATTTCCCATACCCTCAAGAGCATAGGGTACCAATTTAAGAATATTGTCGCACTTATACATTGAAGTTATAGTTCAAGCCAGTTGATAAATCATCATTATTAAATCTACATATGATTCAGCCATTACAATCAACGACTCAAAACACAATTCCAAGTCCTTTTCTACTATCAGCTTACGGAATTGATAACACATTCACAGCAAATGATATATTACAAAGATCGTGGTATATGTTCAACCAATGTCTTCAGAGAAACATAAGAATTATTGGTTTTTCTACCGGTGAGAAAATGACTAAGTATTTTTAATTCAAATTTTATCAAAGCGTTACTGTTTTTTATAGATGCAGATAACAAGTATATACGTGCCATGCAATTAACTAGTAGTTTTTTTAAATTTCTTCCTAATCTTCCAGTTCATCAACATTAACAATCTTATACAGTAAATTTAAAATCACGTTGATCTTGTTTTCTTTACGCGAGCAACAGTTACTTTTATTCATGCAAGACGGGATACATTTAACTACCGAATGGCGTAATCGTTTATTATCTTCAATAGCTGAATTACGTCTTAGCGACCAATCAATATCGATCAAATATTTATATAGTATTATTGATAATGGAAACTTTACTTAAACTGATCATAGCCTGACGCAATCCGATATTAATCTTGAAGATCGTCAAAATTTTAGTTCCTATGTAAAATCAACATTTTATGATCTATTTACGATTTTGAAAAAGGGTGTAGGTTAAGGAATGATGAATCGACACCCACACCCATCAATATTTTTTACATTCCATAGTTTCTATTGATCAAACTGGACATTCATATCTATAATCTTCTGTTCTATGCTTATTTAAATGTCTCTGTATTTGTCATTTGTCAAATATTATCTTTTCGTTTTATTGCAATTTATTCTTGATTTATTAATATATATCAGTTCTTCCATGTATATATATTTTTTTGGTTATTTATTTCGTTCTATATTTTTATTACCAATTTATCATCGGGTGTAGACGTTGTTTAATTAAGAAACGATTTACTCACACCCTATCCCTTACTTTTATCATCGCTATAATGCGACAAATATGCTGTAAAGTAATATAGTAGACTGTATCAGTCGATAGTTACTAGTGCAACTCAATTTACACCATGTTTTGTACAATAGAAATGCTAATAGCTGTTAATACAAATTATGTATATTATATTTTCTGCATCATAAACATTTGGATTGCGTGATCGTGCTATTTTACTTTATGAATTTGAATTATTTTTTCTAATAATTTGTTGATTTGTTAATTCTACAAAAAAAAAGATTTTTCTATTTTGATGTAAATATACAATTTTCGTTAATGTTTTAGTGATTTGTTTACACACATATAAATCACAAAAGCAGCAATAATGATTCGTTCCTATATTAGATTTTCCCTAATACAAAATAATTGATACGTTCAAATTCACTACAGAATAGGAGTCGCTTGAAAGTTTCCGAAGACAATTTTAATATACTCATAAATTCTCGTAAAGTATGTTGAAACATAGAATTGTTATTCGTTTTCTTTCAATTCAAATAAGTTTTAAGATACAATAGAAACAACATCGATCTGTCTACTAAAGACAATAAATTAATGGAATTAAAACAATTGATACCATTTATTAATCAGTTTTCAATAAAATATATTTTGTAGTCTTTTATATTGTATTTGAATTAAAAAATTTCAGTTTCACTTATACTAAATATGTTGTTCGTTGAAAAATCTTCAATGAATTTTACATTGTAAAAATAATTTGAAAAATATATAGATTATCAAGTTGATTAAAAGTTATTTTTCGATTGTATTTTAATATGATTAAATTCGTATTAGTTTCATAATGTAAAGCAAGAAAAGAATAATTTGCAAGATTAATTGCTTGAAATGCATTACTATCATTTTCATAATTATATATAAATTTTAATGTTGCAACTTATCGAAATAAAATTGATTCATAATAATGAACCGTTCGATCTAAAGTTTATACAATAAATTTTATTTTGATAAAAATAAAACTTATATAAAACAACATGATGAATATAATGTCCCCTTAGTCCCCCATTTCAGTTTGAAATTAAATAGATCATTGTATGTTTGCTATACTAAAAATCATTGGAACTCTCGTATCACACCTGCCACAATACACTGACACGAATTGAACGAAACTTCGATGAGGACATAGCAATTATCAAAACACTGTTTGAAGAAAAAGTCAATGATTAACAATAAACATAATTTTTTCTCTCTTTAATATAAACATCCTATGTCGCAATAATCACGACAATTTTAGCGATTTTGAAAACAGTAAATAAATCCTTGCAATAAATCACATTCAATTCCAATTTTCAACTAATGATCATGCATTATGAATTAAGCTGAGAAATATTTCAACATTTATTAAATTGAAAGTAAAATGTACCTTGTATACAATTATGAATATATTTATGAGACGAATGAGAATTGAATACACACGCCAGTTCCACACCTACATCCTAATTATTGTGCTTCCTTTCAAACTAATTCAAACGAGAATGTGCGTTCATCCGGTGATGTTAGTGTTTCCGTTTTCTACGTTAAATATTGTATCATCAAAGATTTTATGAGCGTTGAAAAATGATCTTTGTGATCCGCATGCAATCACTTTCAAACAGTATCGATCGCTACTGTAACAAGCCCTTACAAGTTCAAGATATAGTATACAAAAATAGATTGTCAGTATCAGGCGAGTTGGTGAGCTGTAGATTATTAAGCTATACCAAATCACTAGGAACAATATAAATGTTATGGAATGCACAATTAACTTGTCAATTCACTTTTCTTTGTGTGAACAATCAATCTGAATGTGTCACAAATGACCGATGTTGGGAATATATAACAAACTATAACTGTTTTTTGTAATGAATTTATTTGTAGAAGTTTATTCAACCATTGATTTTTCTCAATAAATCAAGCGAGTTATATATCAAAACGATTACAGTACATGTACTACTTTACAGAGAATCATTATCCTAATGATTTATGAAATCAATATTGTTCACACATAAGATACATACAATATTCACACTCTGACTTATCCTTTCACACTAATATTCATCAAAGGTACAGACATGCTCAGACTAAG